CCAAGAGTTGTACTTTTGCTTTTGTTGCAACACGAGACCAGTTGGTATAAGGGTTTGCAAAGCATGGTGCTTTCCAGATTTTATATTTTTCATCACAATAGTTTAGAAGATCCTAGGATTTTTGTATACGTTCGTTCGTGTATTCTTGTGATAATCACGGAATTTTTGTCTATTGTGACCAACAATGTCGCATATTACGACAGTCTGTTAAAGAAGTAAGTTTCATTAACTTTCTAAGTTACGTTTTTTTTGCCAAGAGGCAATGATATGGTTACAGTGCAAGTCTGCAGACAGTTATTTAGATTATTGTTAATATGTATTAATGACAGTTTGTGATTACTGTATTAGATAGTGAGGTATATTACTCACAGATTTTGCATAGTGCTAGAAGGCATTATATACGAGTATGGTCATTATACAATTTTTTATTGTGCAAGTTGACAGATACAGTCACAATTCAGAATTTGGTTTATTCCGAAATTTGTGAATTTATTTGAGATCTTTGACGTGTTAACAAACGTGTAGCCACAATGGCTTTAATGACAGTTGATCATTGGATATGGGTTGTTGGATTTAGATGTTTTAATTAGGTATACGGTGCCTTATTGGTGTCTTGAAGGCAGTTAACATCGTAAATCAGCAGCGAGGTTGAGAGCCGAGGACGGATGTTGGGTATATTTGAACCTAAGGGGTTTCTGGCATTAATGCCATCGGCATCGTGGCCGCTATGACATTGGCATCGTGGCCGTCATAGGTACCTGGATGCATCGCGAACTGGCTTCATTTTTTCATTTTTTCACTCATTCTTTGTACCAGATGTACTTAACGCTTTTCCAATAAACGCGGGCTGCTGGCTCGAATTTAATCCTATAATATATGTGATATTATGTTGTGTGGTTTGTGGTGAAGACTGTTTAATTAGGAAATAAATAGAAGTCTTGTTCTTCAACTTTATTTGGAATGAGAAGCGGGACAAAATTGCAAAAAATGAGATAATGATTGAGGAACAAGAGAAAGGAGGCTTGAGCATGCTCCATTTGCAATCATATGTAAAAATAACCTAAGCATCAAATGGAAGATATATTGTATATCCCTTGTTATTCCATAGTTAGCATGATATTCATAGCATAACATGTCAAAATAAAAACGGTATTTTTGTAATCAGTGGTAAAATATGATATTTTTGACAACTTTTCTCTTAACCATAGCATACGATTTTTTAGCCATGACATACGACGTCGTATGCGATGGTTAATGGATTTTTGCTACTTCAGTCTCAAAACGAGGCTAAATGTCAACATGGCCGAATCGTTTGGCAGATTTGAGCTAAATCATTTAATTTCGGACGATTCTGATGATTCAAATGATGAACACTCACAATCTTTGATAAGTGGACATTTACAAATCGGAGATAAAGACCCAGACGATCTGATAAATGCACAGAGGAACAAAAACACTGTCAAAAAGACTCGTTATGATATAAAAATCTTGGAAAATTTTTTGAAAGTGAGAGGAGAAAACAGAGACATAAAAGACATTGAACCAGATGCACTGAATACATTACTAAGTATCTTTTTCACGAATGTGACCAAGAAAGATGGTAATGAGTATGAACCAACTAGCCTTAGAAGTCTATTTGCAAGCATATCGAGGTATCTTCAAGAATCTGGCTACCCACATAATATTTTGGAAGATGCACAATTCAAGAAAACAAGAGACACTTTAAAATCAAAACAGAAACAGTTAAAATGTATTGGGAAAGGGAATCGACCTAATCGATCACGATCGCTTACTGAGGAAGAAGTTGAAAAACTATTCGAATCGATGGCCTTTTCATTGGACAATCCAGAATCACTATCAAATCTTGTTTGGTGGAATAATTGTGTACATTTCGGAATTCGACCAGGGCGTGAAAGTCGAAATATACAGTGGGGGGACCTCAGGTTGAAAACTTCCAATGGCAAAGAATACATTGAATTTAAAGAACGACAAACCAAAACGAGAACAGGCGAAACTCCACGCAATATCAGAACGGTCCCACCAAAGATGTTTGCTACAAGTGGAGATCCTAATGACCCCAGAGACCCAGTCTCTGCCTTCAAGAAATATCAGAACATGCGGCCTTGTTCTATGAACTATGATGATGCTCCCTTCTACTTGGGCATTCGCAGAGGCAAGAATGAAGTTCCAGTGGGATCATGGTATCTTACACAACCTATGGGAGAAAACACCCTCATGCAAATAATGAAGAAATGTTGCACTAAAGGTAATTAAACAGTCTTAAATAAGTGTTTCCCAAGTATTGAATACAATGTTAATAGATATGTTCCTGTAGTTTTTACCAGAGAATTTTTTCTCAAAGTGTTCCAATCCACAAAGCTAACTAGAATTTGTCAAATCATGCCATTTTCATAATTTTTTTTCTTAAGCTTACAGAAATATTTTCATTTTGGCTACTGTATTTTCAAATGCTGGGGAGATCACAAGTTCATATTATTTCTAGTGCTTGTATGCAAACTTGGCAGATTTATGTTCATACATTGTTGACACCTTTTTCATGTATAATTCCAGCTGGTATTAGTGCAGACAATGTAAGCAATCATTCCAGCAGGAAAACTCTCGTGAAAACACTGAAGAAAGGCGGAGTTTCAGATACTAATATACAACAGATGACGGGGCATAAAAACATACAGAGTATAACAAACTACCACGAACTGGACATTGGAGAACACGAGGATATAAGTCATACACTTAGTGCATTCAAGCCAAATGGCAACAAGGAAAATCACAAAATAAATGAGGCTCAGTCATTGGAATGTGCTATATCAAGTATGTCTCAGTCTGGTAATCCCCTTCCAGCTATTTTCCAGAATAGTCATATATCTGGTGGGAACTTTAGCTTTAACATTACTCTTCCTTCATCTAGCACAGTTGAAAGTGTTTCAAAACATAAAATATTGAGAAGTGACCCATCGCAGTCACAGTAACAAGGATTTTTGATATGTTATATTTGAACATGACTATTGACTATAGACTGTTATATGACTGGTAAAATATTGATAAGTGACTAATCACAGTCACAATTACAATGATTATTGGCCATGATATGTGAACATGACTATTGACTGTTGGCTTTTTAATTATTAATTAGACTGTTGTCTATTTACTGATCTATTTGTTTGTAAAATATTGTGTAAATATTGTTTGATAGGCTAACTATTGTAATAAAAGTTTTAACTTGATATTTATGTATTGTTATTCCTTTTGATAATTGGAGGTGGAGAATATGACAAGTACTCTTTAACTATGGAATAAAAAGAACATCCTATGATTTACTCGTGATATGATTTTAATCCACTCATGGATATTGATATCTGCACTCTCTCGCTACGCTCGCTCGTGCAGATATCATATCCATTCGTGGATAAAAATCATATCACTCATAAATCATAGGATATCCTCTATTTATCCCACCCTCAGTGCTTTATATGATTGTATAATAGCATTGTATAACTGCAGTATAAAACCAACACTCATCGTATACAACTCTTGCGAACGATATACAACTCCTGGATAGCGTATACAACTCCTGGGCATCGTATACAACTCCTGGGCAGTGTATACACCTCTTCGACTTGATATACAACTGCTGAATTTAGATTAACCTTTTATTGATTAAAGATTAGGATGGGATAATAAGATCATATAATGGTTGATTCTGTATATCGTTATACTCTCGTGAGCATATGTCACTCGTAATTATATCAAATACTCACTTGACGAAATACGGAATCAACCATTATATAACCTAATAGGATATTCCCTGTATCCAAAACCTCCAAATCCTCCTAGTGCATAATCCCTATATGTAGACCCTACATACGAGGGGTGATTCAAAAGTAATGGACAAAATTTTATAGGCATACTAAATTTCACCCAATCAGTCTAATTTTTTCACAGTGAATAGATCAATCAATTCTCTACTTTGTGTCGAATTCTCATTTAAATGCAACTGAAATTGTTTCAGCTATGCGTAACCATGGTAACAAGGGTAAGCATGGGTGGAATTGGTTTTTTAATGATAATTGAATGTTTTTGTCATTTTTGCTTGATTTCGTTTTAATGACTCAATTACCACACATGATATGTCTAACAAGCATGGTAATGCAATTGTCAAGCAAGACTCACATGCCCATGGTCTACATGACCTGTAATAAATAGGTATAAGGGACGTTATTATCACAACACTAATGACATTGCTCACTTTTTAAAGTTACTTTCCATGCGTTATACAAAAAATAATCGAAATAAATTGATATTGTCTTGGGCCTTCCAGATCGCTTTAGATCTAAGACTCTCGTATCCCCTTTACTAAAGTCTTTGTACCATCGCTCAATGGCTTGCCTTGACAAGGCCTTGTCTCCATGTGTCTCTTTTATTTTCTTGACAACTGCCTGCCTTGTCTCTCCAGTAGCTACCAAATATTCAATAACAATCCTTTGCTTAACTTTGATTTGTTGTAAAGTAGACATTTCTTGGATGTGTGTGAGTCTAAGAGTCTGATCTACTTTCTGACTCACTGTGACTCATCATTCTTAGAAATATCATTGTGATGTTATAGCACAATTGGCTGCTGAATTTAGAACTCAACAGCAAACACATGGGCATGTGAGTCTTGCTTGACAATTGCATTACCATGCTTGTTAGACATATCATGTGTGGTAATTGAGTCATTAAAACGAAATCAAGCAAAAATGACAAAAACATTCAATTATCATTAAAAAACCAATTCCACCCATGCTTACCCTTGTTACCATGGTTACGCATAGCTGAAACAATTTCAGTTGCATTTAAATGAGAATTCGACACAAAGTAGAGAATTGATTGATCTATTCACTGTGAAAAAATTAGACTGATTGGGTGAAATTTAGTATGCCTATAAAATTTTGTCCATTACTTTTGAATCACCCCTCGTATAGAGCCAAATGGAAGAAGAAACTCCAAGAGTTAACAGCAGATTCTAACTATATATCTAGCATTTACACAGTGACATCTTTCTTGAAAGGTATGACTTTTGAGTCTTTTTATTTTGATTTTTCTAAAAAAACGTTTATCAAACTTAACAATCAAGTGAAGAACAAATGCAGCGTTCTGTGTAAAACATATTTTTTAAAATTTGATATTTCTGGGAAAGCAGGATTTAAATAATTGTTATGATAACGTCCCATATTGACGTAACTGTGTATATACTGGCCCTGTTTATCCCGCTCCTGATCATATGCCCGACTAGGTACTGAATATGCATCGGGGAAGGGGCTTCGATTTCGCTTCATAATTTGCTTTTGATTGCCAGCTGAGGAAGGGAATATCTGACTACGTCTTTTTTCGTTATCCCTTAAGTTGTTATCTTTAAGGCTGCTATTGAATTCTTGCCTACGTATTTTTTCGTTATGCTGAAGGTTGCTAGGGAATTCTTGCCTTCGTATTTTTTCGTTATGCTGAAGGTTGCTAGGGAATTCTTGCCTACGTCTTTTTTCGTTATATTGAAGGTTGTTGGGGAATTCTTGTCTACGTCCTTTTTTGTTATGTTTACGGTTGCCGGGGAGTTCGTCATTTTTAAGGATATTAGTTTCCATCTCTACGATATCTGAGAATGTTGGTCTGGCGTAAGGATCATCGCTCCAGCAGCTCCACATAATTCCATAGCTAATAATAACAAAATTATTGCAATTCAAACTGATCAACACCATCGCAAAACACAAATCATTATTCCAAGTTTTAATGTAAATTAATGTTGAGTCACATGTTCCAATCAGATCGCTTGAACTTTTACCTTCACTAAAAGATGGTATTCACTAAGAGGAGGGAAAACCCCATGATTCAATTGATGACATACGATTTCCTCCTTCGCGCACCTCCTTTTGTCGAAAACTTACCCTCCATCTTGGTTTTCAAAGTTTTCAAATTGACCTAGTTTTAAACCAATCAACGATCGACTCGCTAAACCAATCAGCGACGATGTCATCTCGATACAGATTTACATTATAAGCGTATGTCATCTTTGACCCCTGGGGTTTCTCCCCCTCTTGTATTCACTGGTCATGTACATTGTCTCAGTAGAACGACTTACATTTCATTTGGTAGATTTGTTGGTTTGTCCAACCGATTTCCAGACAACACCCATGATTTGATGGCATGTGTATCTACGTCGGCATACGGTGTGCCCCCTCTTGTAAACAGCTCCCACATCAGCACGCCATAAGACCACTGAAATGATACAATATGATTTGCAGGAATTGAAGCCCAGGAACTGCATCAACTTCCAAATGTTCATGACATCGGGTAAACAAGCTGTATGATACCGTATTAGGGATCAAAATTGTATTGATGAAAAATCATTTTTCAATTCAAACACTACCATATTTTAGCTCACGTGGATGAATCATCCACTGTTCTATTACAATTCTTTAGACCTATTTAACACGTTTACTACATGTAATGGAGAGGTTAAGCTAACGATGTTTTTCACAACGTAACCGTGAACGCAAAGTACTAGGAATGTATCGAGCGCTCATAGTTTTATGCGCGCTTAGTCTACTTCAGATACTCTTTCAGCTTCAGAGTTTCGGGTTTAGAACGGGAGATTTGAAATTTGACGTTGGGTCAACGGGAACCATTTTACTCGTGTCTATTGAACACTATGCTGTCAATTTTGATTTCGATGCACAGTTGAATTCTTGCTGAACACAATGATGTATGTCATGCATGATTTAGCGCCAAAAATCTTACGAAACGAGCTCGTTTAAAATATGTATTAGAAAACCAGCTATAAAACCGCATCAATGACATACTATAGAATCATTACACGCTATTAGTCCATTTGTCACCCCCAAAAGTGAACCTAGAAATTGTTAAAAGTACGATGTTTTATGGTCGATTTATGATAATAAGGGTTTTCTGAAGTGATTTAACTGGGTTGCCAAAAAAGTTTGTTTGGGGCTGATTAGGGAGGGGTGCATTCGCTTAACATGGCGTTGACTATTGACTTAGCGTTTGGATACCACCATATACCAAGTATGTTACCATGGGAATAGATACAAAAATTTTCCCCAAAGTTATTTTTTTGGCAACCCAGCTAAATCACTCCAATAATCCCTAATGATAGTATTTACGCAGAAAAACATCATACTTTTAACTATTCATACGTTCAGAAAATGGCAAATGGACTATATGGTGTAGTCTAAACAAACACTGGATTTGAACGGCTATTTATATGAGAAGGCTACATGAATTTGTATATGGTCGAGTGATACGTACAGGTTCAGTTTCGATTTATATGCAAAACTTAACCTCTCCAATATGTATATTACCATTCCAGACATGTGCTTTAGACTTATTTAACATGTTTACTACATGTATATGTATATTACCATATCAGACATGTTACTGTATTTGCCATCCTTCAGACTCTCAGGAGCCATCCATCGGACTGGTATGGGCCGAGATAGGGTGTTGTCCATATAGTAGGTATCAGAGTAGATATCCCTCGACAGACCAAAATCAGCTATCTTCACAGTCAAGTCAGATGCTACCCTAAAATCATTGTTTTTAAATTTTCGTATTATTACAGTAATACATATTATCGATATTTAGGGTACGAGATATTATATATTTGCCATTTTAGCAACATTAGCGGCAATTTTATAACATTGAATCAGCACGAGCAATTTGTGTTTACATTTCATCTGTGGTATGAGTTGGGTGAACATTTCAGAAAGGGTATCGACTCCAGTTTGAAGAGCATTAAACTCATACAGAACCAAATCAAATCAAAATAGGCAAATGATTTGTATGATCAATGACCATTTATGGCAGTGAATTATTGTAGAGGAAAGTCACTGAACCCGGATGAACCCTGTCATACACCGTAAGTTATGCATATTAATGCGTAGTTATACGCGTTCCATTTCTCTTATGTTTTATTCATTTTAATACAAGAAAATCTAAAATTGTATCGTTTCTAAAAAGGCAGTATTACTATAGCCTACTCACAAATTGGAGAGAAATAACTCACATACAATTTCTGGCTGCTAAATCTCTGTGTACAAATCTTTTACAGGCAAGATATTCCATCCCACTGGCTACTTGAAGACAGAAATTTAACACATGCCCGATGGTAAATACCTAGAAAATAAAAGAACTTGATATTTTTGTCAAGTTGTATTCTTTTTCAATTATTTTAAGTAATTCACCTAAATGATTTATATTATACAGGGAGGGCGAAAAAGTCTATTATTCAATTTAACTTTTTAGAAATGCATGGATTCCAATAAGACTTTCACAGGGAATGCTGAAATCACTTGTGCAAATTGATCCTAAAATGGGATAGTGATTTCTGATTAAGAAAGGTTAACATACATTAGGGGTTTAATTGAAAATGTATAGCCGTAAACTGGTAAAGATAATATTTAAAGCAACAACTTTCGCAGATATTGGCCATGCCTCAAATGATAACGTCAGATTTGCAGATTATACAGTCAGTCAGGGATTGTTCTCGGAAAAGTTTTCTCTCTACAGGCAGATATTTTCCTGTGTTTCGTTTTTACTTGTTGCTGAATCACGCGTGTGAATAAGTTTTTCTTCATCTTACTCATTGTATTTGCTGCTTCGAATATCATCCTGAAACTGTATATTTTCAAATAGACCCCAGTGTCTGTTAAAATATTTTGTGCAGAAGGCGCTGATGATTTTTTACCCGTTTCAGAAACAATAACCCAGATCCGAGTATATAGTTCCCATTTTCACAACCAGGTGGCTAATTTCGGGTAAATAACATGGCAGGGTATTAGAAAGTTGACTTATATTTGAATATTCATCAGTTTTTGTGGTTCATTTTACCCTCATGTATCTGATAGTTTTATGAAAATGTCAAGTAATATGTCCAGTAAAAGAAAATATTATCTGTCCAATCTATAAGAAAATACATTTCACTTTTTGTGTTTTGGGGGGTTTATGGGGAATCTCCCCGACCTCGAAGTCATATTTCAAAAAAAAAAATTCAAGTTTTCTGCACGTAATTTTACGTGTAGATTTCTAATGTGATATCGCTTTGACTGAATTTTGAATTGTTAATGACTAAATGAAGATTATTTCTACTCGCCTAGTATAAGTTATTTCTGCAACCCCCTGAAAATCTTATCAAAATCCATGCATTGATTAAATATCAGGGTTATTTCGGAAAAATATGAACGCTTTTGATGGTCTCAGCTTTTGGCGACCTTGACTATTTCAATGACCTCGGAGAAAGAAGACTTACATGTTTTTCATTCTGCACATACGATTTTAAATCTTTGTTAGCCATATGGGGGAGTATGACATACGGGATATCATTGTCCAGGGCCACTCCAATAAGGTTCAGAACATTGGGATGCTCGAAATCCTTCATAACCAAAGCCTCCTTCATGAAATCTGAGAGATCATTCTCAGAGCAATTTGACCTTTTTATAGTCTTTATTGCCACGTCTTGTCGGTTTACGGTTCCTTTATAGACAATGCCAAAGTGACCTGCAGAAAATCATAAACGAATATATTTTGAGAAAATAATCTGTCAGTTTTATACCTCTCGAGGAGACTTTGTATTTTATATGTAATTTAATTGAAAACTGTGCTAATAATCATTTGATATCATTATCATAATTTAACACATTTTGGCAGAGTCTTTATCAAAACAGGTCTTACTAATTATGAATGTTGTTATGACCTCTGAACCACATGAGTGTGATGGAATGTATTGAAATAGATACTATTCATTTGATAATTCATTAATCCACGAAGGTTTGAATTAGTTTCTTTATATTTTGTATCCACATTTTTGGGAAAACATCTGAGACCCTGGAAATCGATGGTGATTATCATAGTTAATTCTGAGTGTGTACTGTAAAAAATTCATATTGAATTATATTTTCTGCATTCTCGTGCTCACAAAATCAGAAGTTTGTTACCCTCTCGTTGACCATACCCTGAGCGACCTCGTGTTATTGGTACAGTCAGTGTGTTAAATCACAAAGATTTAGTGAAACAACAGATATATAGTTACCTTGTCCAAGAACCTCTTCGATCACGATGTCTCTAAATTCTAGTTTTCTGTCTCCAAGAATATTTATCAAAACTTCATCCAGGGCAGACAATTTAATACGCGTGTCCTCTAAAATGAAACATAAGATTCTCTAAAAGCTTTCATTTAGCACACATCCTAGTTTTCTGCGTGAAAAATGCAAATTCTATGCAGAAATTCTGCATGAAAAAGACGAATTCTGGGCCAAATACTGCATGAAATCCAGAATTCCGCGATAAATTCTGCAAGCAACGGTTTCATCTGAACTATAACGAAATGGCAGGGAATTCAAATTTCGTGACATATTAGATATAATCTACAAAACGGATATATTGGGACACTTGTTAAAGGATTTTAAGTGTTAATCACTTCTAGATTGTAAGATAAACTAAGTTTAATTTTGTTGTGTACCTACCATATTCCCCGTTTTCTCCAAGAATTACCATATCTATAAACCCATTCTGTCTGGACTTACGTCGCCGTAGCTGGCATACTTTAACAAGGATTATTGTGGCCGCGATGAATACAACAAAAACTGTGATTGCTGACGACACAATTAAAGTCATCGGGACATACCTGACGTGGCCAACCGTATACTGTTTTCCAATTTCCCCTACTTGTGCCTTTAATGTAAAAAACATCCTATGTAAATGAGAATGCAGAAAACACTCGGCGTGGATATCAGTGTCAACTACGTATATATGGATTCAAATGAAGACCGAAGACTGGCTAAAAACAACAAGATTTTGATGACCGGTGGTGCCGTTTTAACTAACGTACTTTTCTGCAGGCTCTTTCGGCATAGGATGAGAAAAAACGTTCATCTTTTTGAAAAATGCAAGTTTCTTTTGAAAATGTGACTGAGACATTACCAACTAATTGCAAATATGGGCAGGGCACAAGGATACGATTTTATTATGTTCATTACCAGTGCAAATAGCGATAAGTCAGGTCCTGCTTCAAGCTCCCCATACCCGGGTTCTTCATCCGGTAGCTTACATAACAACTCTGTTGCAGTGAGCAGTTGTACCTCACACGCCCCATCACCGACTTGCACCCGCATATCTTCTGTTCTTACACCTCCGGAGGGAGTTGCTACCTGAAATAGTTTTTTGTGTATACTTTTTATTTAAGGTTAAACAACGTTAAGATGTACAGTCATAATACAATTTCAACTTACAGTATTACAAGGTTGTTGAAACTCTTAAAGCAGATATGAAATCATGGTATTTTTAACCTAAAGGAATCAATATGATTTTTTGATAAATGTATTTGGACATGTTTTCTCATCAGTAGTGTGAAAATTAATAAGCAATATTCGAATTGGTTGTGACGTTATTGGCCCCCACGTGATCTCTCACTGGCCCCCACGTGGCCCGTTTTGGTCCATTAGATCATGACGTCATAATGCCAAAATGTTTTGTTATTTGTTTACACAACAATCTTATGGTTGCCGTGACGTTGTGATTACTAAGGAACCAATAAACCAAAGCTATATTTTGTATATGACGTTACTAATCACGTGGGGGCCAATTTAATTGATCAGTTAGTTTTATTTCGTTATCTATGACCGTTAGCAGTTATCTAACATTTATTTTATAATGGCTATCGCAAGAACGCTACGTTGGGCTTACAATGGAGAAAACCGCATTTTTGTAGCTGCAAGTTGAGAAAATCTATTTCAGTTGTCCTTTATATTACAATCTCGCTAGCCTATATTTACATCGCGATAAAACATCGATCCCTTCTTAGGTCAATAGAAGCAATGGAATTATATCAGAAACAAGTCAAATTCTTTACTTCAGAGAATATTTTTAATTTATTGAGACTTTCGACTAATATCCCTTAGTCTTTTTCACTTTTGACAAACATACTTTGGTGTTACTGTATGCACTTGTCCCATCATCAGCAATGTGCCTGGTTTCATTGTTATTTCGGGTCTTTCAACATTGTATAACTCTACCAGGTGACCCCACCAAAGTGGTGTGGGACAAGTGTGTGCTTCTCAAGCTAAATACTTCTATTAGTAATGTTTAATTGTTTTCCAGTCATCTGCTCTTTTGATCCAGAGCCATTTTGATGCTTTCTCTGCTATTCTTGTAATACTTCCAATTGCTTGCTTCCTTGTATTGCCATTTATTCCTAATAGTCCTAATGTTCTCCAGAGGGATTGTCCTGCAAACCCTCGACAGCCAACCTCTACTGGTTCACATCTGGCTGTATATCCCTTGTTCCTACACTGCTCCACTAATTCTGCATATTTTTCTCGCTTCCTTTCTTGAGCTTCCTGTATGTTTTCCTCCCATGGCACTGTTAGTTCTATTAGCACTATATGCTTTGATGATTTTGACCACAACACTATGTCTGGCCTTAGTGAGGTTTCCACTACTTCCTCCGGGAATTTTAGCTGTTTCTCTAGGTCCACCATGAGGGTCCAGTCATTTGCTGTGTGTAGAATTCCAGTAGGTTTCCTTACTTCCTTTGTTATGCCTTCTCCTGCTTTGATGAAGTTGATATATTGGGTTCCTAGTTTCTTGTGTTTTTTCCTCCTCTCTGTCTCAATGACCTGTGCTAACTCCTTCAGGACTTGGTCATGTCTCCACCTGAACCTTCCATCTGCTAATCCTTTCCTACAGGCTGACATGATGTGTTTTAGGTTTGATACTGCCCCGCATAATGGGCACTCTGCTGTCTCTGCTAGCCCCATAGTGACTAGATTGGATGGTGTAGGTAAGACGTCATATGTTGCTTTAAGCAGAAAACTAATAGTTTGTGGCTGCTCCTTCCATAAATCATTCCAAGTTAGTTTCCTTTCTCTAACGCCTTCCCATTTCATCCATTTACCTTGTTTCTTCATCTCAATAGCCTTAACTCTTCGGTCTTCCTCGAGGCTCTCTCTTACTTCTAGCTGGATCAGATCTCTCTTTTCACGGTCTGTTGCTTCATTCCATAGTGGTTTTGAGCCAAATCCTAAGCCCTGTCTTCCTTTGGCTACCCGCCCTACTAAAACTTTTTGCTTGAGCCTGTCCTCTGCTCTTGTTAGCTCCTCTTCAGCATTCCACTTCCTTCCTGTTTTCTCATGGGTGCTGCTCTTTGAAATCTTGGTGTCTTTGGCATTCCTTATCATCACAATCTTCCTGACTTTGGTTACCTTGTATTCTTCTGTCATTGATTTGATCGGTAGGTGAAGCATGTTTGATTCTCCATAAAATCCTGAGCTGCTGAAGCTTTTTGGTACTCCGAACCACTTCCGTAGGTATTTGTTTGTTTTCCTCTCTAACATCTCCACTGTTGTCATTGGCACTGCATACACGAGAAGTGGCCATAATATTCGAGGTAGTATTCCATGCTGGTATATCCATGCCTTGTATTTTCCAGGTAGCCCTGATTTATCTACCAGTTTGAACCAGGTATCTAATTGGTCCTCCATTTCCCTTATGCTCTTCCTGTCTGAAAGTGATGCATCAAACACTTTCCCTAAGCTTTTCACTGGTTTTTCTGTAACTGTTGGTATATCCTGTCCATCTATGTTGAACTTGAATTTTCCATCTACCTTCCCTTTCTTCAGTACTAGGCTGCGTGATTTCACTGGCTTGAATTTCATCCTGCCCCACTTGATAATCTTTTCTAGTCCTTTGAGTATCCATCTTGCTCCCATGACTCCCCTGGTTGTTACTGTTAAGTCATCCATGAATGCTCTGATGGGTGGCTGTCTAGTACCAGAGCTTGTTGTTGGCCCTCTGCATTCCTGTTCTGCTGATTTTGCCAGTAGGTTCATTGCTGCTGCAAACAATATAACAGAAAGTGTACACCCAGTCACTATTCCTACTTCTAACTTGATCCAATTTGTAGTAAACTGCTTTGTAGAAAATCTCATCTTGAAGTTGTCATAATAATCTAAGATCATCTTCTGTATCTTCTTTGGAATGTAGTAACTCATCATTGTGAACTCTACTAACTTGTGGGGTAAGGAACCATAAGCATTTGCTAGGTCCAACCACAGCACTGTTAAGTCACCTTTACTTTCTCTTGACTCCTTGATAAGTTGTGTCACCATAGCTGTGTGCTCTATACATCCAGACATTCCTGGGATTCCTCCTTTTTGTACTGATAGATCAAGGTATTCATTTTCTATCAGAAACGAAGTCATACGTCTGGCCACAACGGCCATGAATATTTTTCCCTCCACACTGAGAAGAGAAATGGTCCTAAATTGACCTACAGCTTCCGATTCATCTTCCTTGGGAATAAAACATCCTTCTGCTGTTTTCCATTGTGGGGCTGTATAGCCTTTCCTCCAAACTGCTTTCAACAACTTCCATAATCGTGTTAATAACTTTGGACATCGCTTGTATATCTTATATGGTATTCCACTTGGCCCTGGAGCAGATGAGGCCCTAGCATGATACACGATATCTTTAATTTCTTTGAAAGTTGGCTCCTTCAGATTAAATTCCTTAGTTGGGGGTGGGTATTCTAGTATCAAGTCACACTCCCCTAATTCCTCGTTTCTCCTGATATCCTTATGGGTCATGGTTAAGTGGTTTTCTACTTCTTCTTTAGAGCTTCTAAGGGTACCATTCTTCTTCTGGCCTAGTAGTTCCTTGACAAATCCAAAAGGGTCCTTTGTAAAAGATGCTCTTCTCTTCGAGCGTTCTCTTCTGCGTCTCCTGTGATATTCTGCTCTTCTTAATGTTTTGAGTTTACATCTGGCTATATCTCTCAGTTCGCTAAGTGCGTTTCTCTCTACAGGTCCAGCATGTTTGTACCTTTTCTTCAGATCTCTTAGTTGCTTTCTCACCTCTTTAATATCCTTCTGTCTTCTACTAATGTTAACAGTTTGTGATTTTAAATGGCATTTTTCTTCGACTCCAAATCTGTCTGATGCAATTGAGTATATGATGGTTGTCATGGCTTGTATCTTCTTTTCAACTGGTCCACTTAGAGAAGACTCCAAAATTGATTCTAAGTCTTCATCCAGATTACTCCATTCCTCTTTCTTTGTGGCATTAGGCCATTTAATCCTCTGGAGTCTCTCTTCTTTAGCTTTGGCAGTCTCATTCGTCTTTGGAACTTGGACGTTCCTGGCACTGTGGTTTTTGTCCTGGCCTGGCCCCTCCTTCGTCTTATCAGGTGTCCCTGAGCGCTGTTCCATCTCCGACTGAGACTGGCACCGCGACTTGCCTTGGTGAATTTTAAGTCCTCTGTCGTTTTTGCATTCTTTGCCGCAACTGCATATTCTGCCTCTGTTCAATGTCCTTGTCCTTGGGCGTGCTAAGTCGATATTCTGTATTCCTTCTGTTTGTGTAGATTGCTCATCCTCCCCCCCTCTCGGGCAATCTTGAGGGTGTTTTTCTTTAAGTTGTGACGTAGCTTGATGTGTGGGTTGCTTCTTCACAGAAGCTGCATTTCGGGCTGCTGACCCAATTTGCCCCGGTTGTTGTCTTTCCAACTGTCTTCTGACTATCCAGATGTCGCTGGTCTATTCCCAGTTGTCATCCAACCTTTCTTGGTAGTCACTGATTTCTCAGATATACGACTTTTGACAAACATACTTTGGTGTTACTGTATGCACTTGTCCCATCATCAGCAATGTGCCTGGTTTCATTGTTATTTCGGGTCTTTCAACATTGTATAACTCTACCAGGTGACCCCACCAAAGTGGTGTGGGACAAGTGTGTGCTTCTAAAAGTGTGTGCTTTCAAAATATAACAGCATGTATACAATTTATGTAAAAATCATTGATAATGAGAGTCATGATCTTAAACGTAGGGTTAAGGAAGCAATTCATATTAAAACAATGCAACCTAAAATGAACAGAGATAATGGGTATCAGTCAAATCAGAACAACATGCCTTGCAAGACAGAAAGCAGATGCAATTACAATGAGGACTTTTTGTTTGTATTAATTTGTGTTTTTAGCCAAACTTTTACTGCAATTTTAACTTTTGAATGACTTTAACACCACTGATGAGGGGGGTTTCTCAAAGAAACCAGGAAAGTACATATTATTGGAAAAACCTTCCTCGTTTCCTAATCGAGGGAATAGATTATAGATTATACCAGCAATGGCAGAATTAATTTCTAAATTGTAATCTTATTTTGAAACCTGAACTCTCGAACTACTATACTTGCCAAATATTTTGTTGTGATTTGAAGGATGAAGCACTCTATCTTCGTTTCCAGAGTTCCTCCCCACTGCTACACCTGACTTGTACAAGTACAAGTTTGTGTATACGTATTCCAAATAACTTATATCGAAAGCTCTCTATTAACGAGAGCGATGCTTACATTACGAATGTAATTAAGAGTATGATACCTTTATCGAATATGTTACATTTCGAGTGTAATACTTAAATTACGAGCACGTTACTTACATTGCGAGTACAATACTCGCATTACGAGTGTGATACCAACATTTCGGGTGTGAGGCTTATATTACGAGTACGTTACTTACACTACGAGTACAATACTAACATTACGAGTGTGATACCTAAAGAGCGAGTACTGTACCTACATTACGATTGTGATATTTACAATACGAATTTAGTACGAATACTAACATTTCGAGTTTTATACTTGCTAAGATAAGGAGTGTGATACTTACATTACGAGTATGAGACTTACGAGTTCCGACACTATGGTAAGATTATTATGTGATACTTGAATTACAATTGCGATTTATACATAAACGAGTGCTATACTAAGATAACGAGTGTGATATTAACATTACGAGTATGATCCTAACATTACGAGTACGATATTTGCATTTCGAGGGCGAAAATTGAATTTCGAATACACGGAACTTTCTTAAATACTCACCGGTATAGAAAGTGTCATTATCCGAGACCAAGTGTTAGCATAAAATATTTCTTCCATCTTCCCAAGTTCAATGTCTGGAAAAATTTGTAGTCTGGTGTTAGTGTTGTTTGGTAGTGCTTCTGTAAGGTTATTATATGATTTGACACCATCCAGTTCAAGACCACTCCAAAAGTTTATTTTCTGGAGTGCTGTAGTGATATTTTCTCCTGTAGCATTTACTATTCTAATAACGATTTCTTCAAGACTGGGCACTGGACATTTCATCAACTTCAAACTTTCTGTATCGCAGACCTAAAACACACATATTTTTATGTTTCTAGTGTTATGAGGAAATATGCTTATTGTATTGTTTGATTGTGTTTTATTAACCAGACGAAGGTGAGAAACACCTTCATACTCCATGGCAGTCTTCAACATATAACACTGCGATGGGCAAATAGTTCAAGCCTAATCTAAGGTATAAAACCCAGAGCAACTATTTCATAAGAAAACCTGTTCTGCAGTGGGTAGAGCTCGAGGAGGAAATACCCAATATAAAGATAAATCCGTACCCATGGAGGTAGTTCTCCCTCTTGCCACTAAACGATAGTAAAACTAATATAATATAAAAGTTAATATTTACAGAATAAAAAAGTTAACCTGTTCAACATCCCAATCGACAGATTCATTTCCGTATTGCACTTTCACTGACATTTTAGGATCACTAACGGATGTAAGGTAATTCCCGATTATAACGATGTAAACGCCTCCACTGAAAATCAAAAAGTGTTACATTTGATTTTTGCAAAAGGTTAAAAAAAACATGTCAGGCTAATATTCTCTTCAGATTGACTTCAATAGACTGTCTACCGAGTCCCTTTCTCTTTTACTTTTCATACAACTGGAAGTGTACGAAGTGATCTGAAGTTGTTCTGGTAGCAAATTTGCAGATTTAGAAAGAAAGGCTAGCATTTCGAAAAGTCGAAATAAACGAGTAAAATGGCTTCAAATCGAAGCGTACACTTCCGGTTGTGCAAACCCTATTGAAATTGTGACAAAATCATGAACTGGTATATCTGAAGTAGAAAATGTGGTTGCATGCATACTCTTATACTCTTTCGGATTTTGCGGGATAAAAGGATTGGAGTGTTCGTGCTTTGACACTCTCTTTAGACATGTACCTTACTGGGGCCTTGTTGTTTAACATGTCGGTTATCACCGGGTCCTCCATATAAGCATATGTTGTGTTCACATCCTGGAGGGTTTGATTTAGTATTTCGTCACCCAAATATACTTCTACTTTTCCGCGGCCAATCACTGAAGGTTGAGTAAAACAGGTTACAAAAATAGACGTTGCGTCGTTTGGCTCGGTCGTATTCCTATAAAATGTATTATAAAAATTCATTACATAACAAACATTCCAAATTCTTAACAATTTGAAATCAAAAAAGTTGAAAAAATAACGGGAGTGGATAAAAGCGATATATCCTTCACCTTCGGACAGAGCTGACAGGAATACATGCATTATGTTCTACGCCTTGACAAGAAACGCAATTTGAGTGGTATTTTGTGACCCTCTTTGATATCTAAATTCAAGGTATCTACTTCGGTTTTAGTTGTTATTAGTTGTTTTATATGTCAGTGAGACACCCGAAAAACTGGCGATCCAGGAACCATTAGTTTCATCACATAAATTATTTTACATTGTCGATATAACCTCGTTCTTGCTGCAGCATAGTAAAGGAGGAGGGAAAGTATCGCAACAGATTTCGGACAATCAGATTTCTGTCAAAAATCCGTTGCGATACTTCCCCTCCTCCTTTGCTAATGTACATGTCTTACCTAGTGATGTTACATTGAAGCCCCACTACATTGACAGTAAAAACGGTTGTATCCAAGCTGACATGTTGCAGTTCAATAGTTATCACGGTACCTCCAGCCTTGGGACCAAAGTTTGGATAAATATGAGAGATATATGGAGTCTAAAACATAAACAAATAACATACAAATGTAATGATTTTGATTGTTTACTGCACTATTCAACTTATAGAAATGTAGATAGCAGCAACGCCAAGACATAGCAAATCCAACCGAACACCTATGGCTGCGATTTTTACAAAATCCCTCCACTGCTTTTTCAAATTTTCATAGGAAATTGTAATATGATACTGCGTAGTATAGGGACGTAATTCATCAAAATCGCTCCACTGCTTTTTGAGTTAACGCAGAGTAGCACACAAAAATGGCGGCTATTTCTAAATGGCGTTACGGATTGACAACGGAGCAGTTCTCTATATACCCAAAACTTCGTTGATGGGATAACACCATGATTATAATGAAGCAATACAATCCAGTCGAATTATTAGAATGACAACATTGAATGATGTTTCTTAAATTAACAAAACGATAACTTACAAAATTGCAGTCAGAAACGTGCGTTGCACCTCGTGACGTGGATGCATATATTCCATACTTGTCTGCAGCACATCTGGTACATGGTTGTCTCAAATGGTTATCTTTGTAGAAACCACGTTGACATTGAATACACGTTGAAGGGCCTACAAGTTCATAGCCTCTTGTACAAGATTGTGGATCTATTTTCGCCGTTGTAGTAGCAACCGTGGTAGATGTCTCAGTCACTGTTGTTGTGGTGACCGTGGTAGTTGCGTCAGCTACTGTTGTTGTAACACCAGCCGTTGTTGCATCAGCAACTGTTGTTGTACCATCAGCTGTAGTTGTGTCAGCCACTGTAGTTGCATCATCAGTGGTAGTAGCATCCGTCACGGAGGTAGTAGCATCAGTCACTGTGGTAGTAACATCAGTGGTAGTAGCATCAGTCACTGTTGTAGCATCAGTGGTTGTAGCATCAGTCACTGTGGTAGTAGCATCAGTGGTAGTAGCATCAGTCACTGTGGTAGTAGCTTCAGTGGTAGTAGCATCAGTAACTGTGGTAGTAACATCACTGGTAGTAGCATCAGTCACTGTTGTAGCATCAGTGGTTGTAGCATCAGTCACTGTGGTAGTAGCATCAGTGGTTGTTGTATCAGTCACTGTGGTAGTAATATCAGTGGTAGTAGCATCAGTAACTGTGGTAGTAACATCACTGGTTGTAGCATCAGTCACTGTGGTAGTAGCATCAGTGGTTGTTGTATCAGTCACTGTGGTAGTAGCTTCAGTGGTAGTAGCATCAGTAACTGTGGTAGTAACATCACTGGTAGTAGCATCAGTCACTGTTGTAGCATCAGTGGTTGTAGCATCAGTCACTGTGGTAGTAGCTTCAGTGGTAGTAGCATCAGTAACTGTGGTAGTAACATCACTGGTAGTAGCATCAGTCACTGTGGTAGTAACATCAGTGGTAGTAGCATCAGTCACTGTGGTAGTAACATCACTGGTAGTAGCATCAGTCACTGTGGTAGTAACATCAGTGGTAGTAGCATCAGTCACTGTGGTAGTAACATCACTGGTAGTAGCATCAGTCACTGTGGTAGTAACATCAGTGGTAGTAGCATCAGTCACTGTGGTAGTAACATCACTGGTAGTAGCATCAGTCACTGTGGTAGTAACATCAGTGGTAGTAGCATCAGTCACTGTGGTAGTAACATCAGTGGTAGTAGCATCAGTCACTGTGGTAGTAACATCAGTGGTAGTAGCATCAGTCACTGTTGTAGCATCAGTGGTTGTAGCATCAGTCACTGTGGTAGCATCAGTGGTTGTTGTATCAGTCACTGTGGTAGTAGCATCAGTGGTAGTAGCATCAGTCACTGTGGTAGTAACATCACTGGTAGTAGCATCAGTCACTGTGGTAGTAACATCAGTGGTAGTAGCATCAGTCACTGTGGTAGTAGCTTCAGTGGTAGTAGCATCAGTAACTGTGATAGTAACATCACTGGTAGTAGCATCAGTCACTGTGGTAGTAGCTTCAGTGGTAGTAGCATCAGTCACTGTGGTAGTAACATCACTGGTAGTAGCATCAGTCACTGTGGTAGTAATATCACTGGTAGTAGCATCAGTCACTGTTGTAGCATCAGTGGTTGTAGCATCAGTCACTGTGGTAGTAACATCACTGGTAGTAGCATCAGTCACTATGGTAGTAACATCAGTGGTAGTAGCATCAGTCACTGTGGTAGTAACATCAGTGGTAGTAGCATCAGTCACTGTGGTAGTAACATCAGTGGTAGTAGCATCAGTCACTGTGGTAGTAACATCAGTGGTAGTAGCATCAGTCACTGTGGTAGTAGCTTCAGTGGTAGTAGCATCAGTAACTGTGGTAGTAACATCACTGGTAGTAGCATCAGTCACTGTTGTAGCATCAGTGGTTGTAGCATCAGTCACTGTGGTAGTAGCTTCAGTGGTAGTAGCATCAGTAACTGTGGTAGTAACATCACTGGTAGTAGCATCAGTCACTGTGGTAGTAACATCAATGGAAGTAGCCACTGTAGTTGTAGCATCAGCCGTTGTAGTATCTGCCGTAGTTGCGTCAGCCACTGTAGTAGTGTCAGCTACTGTTGTTGTAACATCAGCCGTTGTTGCATCAGCAACTGTTGTTGTAGCATCAGCTGTAGTTGTGTCAGCCACTGTAGTTATACCATCAGCTGTAGTTGTGTCAGCCACTGTAGTTGTAGCATCAGGTGCTGTAGGACCTGCCGTAGTTGCGTCAGCCACTGTAGTTGTTGTAGCATCAGCTGTAGTTGTGTCAGCCACTGTTGTTGTAGCATCAGCTGCTGTATTATCTGCCGTAGTTGCATCAACCAGTGTAGTTGTGTCAGCTACTATTGTTGTAACATCAGCCATTGTTGCATCAGCAACTGTTGTTGTAGCATCAGCTGTAGTTGTGTCAGCCACTGTAGTTGTAGCATCAGCTGCTGTTGTATCTGCCGTAGTTGCATCAGCCACTGTAGTTGTGTCAGCAACTGCTGTTGTAGCATCAGCTGTAGTTGTGTCAGCCACTGTACTTGTAGCATCAGCTGCTGTAGTATCTGCCGTAGTTGCGTCAGGTACTGTAGTTGTGTCAGCTACTGTTGTTGTAACATCAGCCGTTGTTGCATCAGCAACTGTTGTTCGAGCATCAGCTGTTGTTGTGTCAGCCACTGTAGTTGTAACATCAGCTGCTGTAGTATCTGCCGTATTTGCGTCAGCCACTGTAGTTGTGCCAGCTACTGTTGTTGTAACATCAGCCGTTGTTGCATCAGCAACTGTTGTTGTAGCATCAGCTGTAGTTGTGTCAGCCACTGTTGTTGTAGCATCAGCTGCTGTATTATCTGCCGTAGTTGCATCAACCAGTGTAGTTGTGTCAGCTACTATTGTTGTAACATCAGCCGTTGTTGCATCAGCAACTGTTTTTGTAGCATCAGCTGTAGTTGTGTCAGCCACTGTAGTTGTAGCATCAGCTGCTGTAGTATCTGCCGTATTTGCGTCAGCCACTGTAGTTGTGTCAGCTACTGTTGTTGTAACATCAGCCGTTGTTGCATCAGCAACTGTTGTTGTAGCATCAGCTGTAGTTGTGTCAGCCACTGTTGTTGTAGCATCAGCTGCTGTATTATCTGCCGTAGTTGCATCAACCAGTGTAGTTGTGTCAGCTACTATTGTTGTAACATCAGCCGTTGTTGCATCAGCAACTGTTGTTGTAGCATCATTTGTAGTTGTGTCAGCCACTGTAGTTGTAGCATCAGCTGCTGTTGTATCTGCCGTAGTTGCATCAGCCACTGTAGTTGTGTCAGCAACTGCTGTTGTAGCATCAGCTGTAGTTGTGTCAGCCACTGTACTTGTAGCATCAGCTGCTGTAGTATCTGCCGTAGTTGCGTCAGGTACTGTAGTTGTGTCAGCTACTGTTGTTGTAACATCAGCCGTTGTTGCATCAGCAACTGTTGTTCGAGCATCAGCTGTAGTTGTGTCAGCCACTGTAGTTGTAACATCAGCTGCTGTAGTATCTGCCGTATTTGCGTCAGCCACTGTAGTTGTGCCAGCTACTGTTGTTGTAACATCAGCCGTTGTTGCATCAGCAACTGTTGTTGTAGCATCAGCTGTAGTTGTGTCAGCCACTGTTGTTGTAGCATCAGCTGCTGTATTATCTGCCGTAGTTGCATCAACCAGTGTAGTTGTGTCAGCTACTATTGTTGTAACATCAGCCGTTGTTCCATCAGCAACTGTTGTTGTAGCATCAGCTGTAGTTGTGTGAGCCACTGTAGTTGTAGCATCAGCTGCTGTTGTATCTGCCGAAGTTGCATCAGCCACTGTAGTTGTGTCAGCAACTGCTGTTGTAGCATCAGCTGTAGTTGTGTCAGCCACTGTACTTGTAGCATCAGCTGCTGTACTATCTGCCGTAGTTGCGTCAGGTACTGTAGTTGTGTCAGCTACTGTTGTTGTAACATCAGCCGTTGTTGCATCAGCAACTGTTGTTGGAGCATCAGCTGTAGTTGTGTCAGCCACTGTAGTTGTAGCATCAGCTGCTGTTGTATCTGCCGTAGTTGCATCAGCAACTGTAGTTGTGTCAGCAACTGCTATTGTAGCATCAGCTGTAGTTGTGTCAGCCACTGTTCTTGTAGCATCAGCTGCTGTAGTATCTGCCGTAGTTGCGTCAGGTACTGGAGTTGTGTCAGCAACTGTTGTGTCAGCTACTGTAGTTGCGTCAGCCACTGTAATTGTGTCAGCTACTGTTGTTGTAACATCAGCCGTTGTTGCATCAGTAACTTTTGTTGTAGCATCAGCTGTAGTTGTGTCAGCCACTGTAGTTGTAGCATCAGCTACTGTAGTATATGCCGTAGTTGCGTCAGCCACTGTAGTTGTGTCAGCTTCTGTTGCTGTAACATCAGCCGTTGTTGCATCAGCAACTGTTGTTGTAGCATCAGCTGTAGTTGTGTCAGCCACTGTAGTTGTAGCATCAGCTGCTGTAGTATCTGCCGTAGTTGCGTCAGCCACTGTAGTTGTGTCAGCAGCTGTTGTTGTAACACCAGCCGTTGTTACATCAGCAACTGTTGTTGTAGCATCAGCTGTAGTTGTTTCAGCCACTGTAGTTGTAGCATCAGCTGCTGTTGTTGTATCAACAACTGTTGTTGTAGCATCAGCTGTAGTTGTGTGAGCAACTGTAGTTGTAGCCTCAGATCTGCGTATTCTTTTCAAGAGTTTTGTTTTTGCACATTTCTCTAAAATGGGTGAACATCGTGAGTATTGAAAAATAACTGATTATGATCTAAACGTCAAAAATAACAAAAATAATCAAAAGTATGCAAATCATGATATGCTGTGAGCCCCTGATGACCATAGTGATGATTATGAACATTACATTACTGGTCTTAAGGACTTCAAGGAAGTTATAAACAAACACTCTCTCATTTTGAAGCTGTTAAATGACAAGTCATATTCATTCAATAAGTATTTTCAAAAGCATGCATTTAGTGCTAGGTAAGGTAAATTCAAAATACTTAAAAGCAGATTTTTCAGAATTTACATGTAGCTGTGAAGTCTTCATCTTTGTAATAGACAAGGTGCATTTTCATCTAGAGGAAATGTGGTAGGCGTTTAGTGTTAAAAGTGTTCTGACAAGTGTTTCTTATGTAACTTTTTATGCTGAATCCAAAAAAACATGTTGGCAAGCTGAAATATGATTATTTAACCCTTAAAATACCATGTTAGTCCCCCTACCCCCAAAATTCACCCCTGTCAGGGGGAAAAAATTTGTCAACCTAAAATAACTCTGATTTTATGGTTTTTGTAAGTGAAATACATGGACATTGTATAAAATAAACATTTAAAGTATGAATGATACGGATTACACTAAAGAAATTTGAATAAAAGCAAAAAGTATGTACCCCAGGGGGCAAATTTATGACCCATTTTTTACTTTTCGTGTCATAACTTTTTTATTAGACAATGATGGATGCTAAAAAAATCCATGTAAAAGGCTTAATACCTGGTCTACTAATCCTGCAAGAATCAAAGTAACTCCTTTGATAATTGCCTTGAAAAAAATTAGTGAATTGAAGAAAAAATGACATTTTAGCTGGGACTGATTTTATGTGTGACTATAACTGACCCCTATTGCTTTAACATTTATCCCTCTGTGTTCATATATTTGGCATTTTAGAATTAATCTAAAATATAAAACTTATTTTAGCTAAGTTTTAGAAAGATTTAAGCTTTCTAGCATGTTCAAATATTAAAAATTCATGAAATATGATGTCTAAAATTGATAAATTATAGGTATACCCTTGGAAGACCCCTATAATTTCTTATTTATGAACTATATTTGTACCAATATTAGTTTTCTAGCTTAGACAAATAATGTATGATATATCCTGGCTTGGCTTTCTGGTGGTTTAACAATCTTAGGTGTTATCATTGAAAATTCATTCTTAAATCATAGGTCTGCAATCGATTAAATTCAAGTATACCATTAGCCTAGTATCATTCTACTGGTACAGGGTGTCCAAAAAACAGGACCGAAGAAAAGTTAATTAACTTTGTCAATCCTGCATATTCTGCCTCAAAACTTCAGAATTATTCAGTTCATTCAATATGAATTTTGTTGTGAAAGTTTCATGATAATCTACCTGTGGAGTCAAAAACTACAGCACTTTACAACATATGTCCAATGTGGCCACTTCTCCTCTACATGCATAATCAAATCTGGCGAAGAAAGTTTTTCAATTGTCCATGGCGTGACTAAAATCTATCTAGAGAAGTAAAACTAGTGTCAAACAAATTCTCAGATATTCTTCAATTTTAAGTGGATAGCTTCATCAGAAGCTTTGCAATCCATGTTGGTATGTGTAGGAGAGTCATCAACAGCTTCGCTGGCTGGAGTGGTGGCCACATGGGGCATGTGTTGTAAAATGCTGTAGTTTTTTACTTTATAAGCAGATTATCATTAAATGTTCTCAACAAAATTCACATTAAATGAAGTAAATAATTCTGAAATATTAAAGCAAAATATGCAAGATTGACCAAAATAATCAACTTGAACAAGCTATGATTTCATAGATTAGTTTGATGTATGACATATTCCGAGCTGACTTTCTGTTTATTTAAACCATCTAAGAGGCTTAATAATTGAAAATTATTACAAATAAAGGTCCAAACAGACAGTATTAAGGTACACTATTAGAATACCCTTATTATTTCCAGGCTTAGATTTTATTGGTACCTACTACTGTTTCATAGCTCGGAGGTTTAATATATGATATATCCTGACTAGTTTTTCTGCAGATTTGAACCAATGACAGGTCTAATCATTGATTATACTTCATATACTAGGTCTAAAATTGAAGTATTCAATACCTCTATGAAAATTCAAAAAAAGATTCAAAATGACATTAACCTCAACATTAGATCTGAATAAGGATTAAAATCCTTCATAGAGCTGAACAGGGAAGACAAGGCTAACTTCATTCTGGTGTTGATACATGGACCTGGTCCAAATCTTGCTATACTTCATCCAAGCCCAAAGAAAGGGAAATTAGGAGCTTCATCTCAATGCATTTCAATGCATGATCCCTTATTTCATGACCACCAAAATTATGGAAGGTGTGGCACAGTAAACTTAGAGGAAATGCACTAACTATTAGAATATAGTACCTGCTGCAGTTGAGCGAGGATTCTTGCATTGAACTATGTGGTAAAAGGCTCTACAAATTCAATCAACCAAGTTGATTGACCCCTATGCCAGTATGCTATTGGTTAGAAGGGTGGCGGAATTGTAGGCATAAAACAAAGACAATATCTGCATTGAACAGATGGGCACCGGGGTATAATCTTAGGTCACACATGGGGAGTCCAAACAAGAATGATGTTTGGACTTGCGTTTTGAGATTCCATAGAGGGGGGGTGGTAATTTGCAAATCAAAACAAGAATCTATGGATATTTAAGCACAAATGCCAAAGGGAAGGGTGACTAAAAACATTTAAGAAACCCAACAAGAAAAGCAAACCGCAAGGTCAAATCTGTCATAAGAAAAGTATCCCAAAACCATAATCTAACGTGAAAAGAAACATCCCCCCCCTCCAATCGAGAACCAATATCACAATCCAGGACCAGAACACCAAGGGACATTTCATTCATACTGAAGTCATTACAATACATGTTGAAGAAAAATTGAAAAAATTGAAAGCCAATACCCATTACATCAAAAATAGTTGTAGATACTAGTACTCATAAAAGATAGAGTATTCAGTCTCTGGAAGAAGATAAAATATGTGACATGCTGCTGAAGTTTGGCATGTTTTCAGAAGATCCATTACTTAATCTCCAAAGTATATGTACAAAAGATGTACTCACAGAAACAATCAACAGGCTCGACAGTTTGGCCAACAACAACTGGATGTCTTTGTGTCTTAGAGGTTGATACCAACAGGGTCAAATGAAAGACACAACATTTCTTGATCTACTGAGCAAGTACCAACATTTTTAAACTATATGCCTAATCCCAATATAAACGAGCAGAAAGTTGTTAAGGCAGACAGGAATGTTTTCCAGAATCTTATCACTGCATATGAAGCTAACCACAGACCTGTGGGCATCAATGAAATCATGAAACATGAGCTGATGTCTTTTCCAATAGCCCTCTCATTGACGAATGAAACATTCAAGCCAACTCAAATGTACTCTACTCCTTAACTGTTTAACAAATGGTATTGAAATGCCAACCGTAATATTTCCAATATATGATCCTTCTTACAAATTAGCATCAATTACATCTACATCTGAGGATTTGGCTACAGTCTTCAAGGAAGCAAAACTTCAGCAGTGAAGTGTATTGTGCCCCATCTTGCATACTTTTGGTGGTCATATCTCATGAAAAAGGGGATCATGCATTGAAATACATTGAGATGAAGCTCCCAATTTCCCTTTCTTTGGGCTAAGGTGAAGCGTATCAAGATTTGGACCATGTCCATGTATTACTACCAGAATGAAAAGTAATCCTTGTCTTCCTTGTTCAGCTTTATGAAGGATTGTAATTCTGATTTACAACAGTCATCCGAGATCACATCAATCAGTTGCTTTATTTGATTTCCAGATCCAATGTTGTGGTTAATGTCATTCTGAATCTTTTTTGAATTTCCCACATATGGTCCTATTGGATTTAAATTTCAAAAATTGCTACTCTGCAAAAACTCTCATTAACTGAAACATCCTACTAATTCAAAATGTTGTCAAAGTGAGTATACGCCATTTGTCAAGAATTTCTGCCTTAACTCCAAGAGTAACACAGAAAGGTTAATAGGGACAGTGGGGGGGGGGATTTTTTAATATGACTTAACATTGTTCAGGGAAGAAAACTCCATAAAATGAAGATTTGTATGAATCATTGGTACTTTTGCTCTCACGTCATGCAATTGTCAGGCTGCTTAGAATGAAATAAGCCTTGTCTTCCTAGTTCAGCTCTATGAAGAATTGTAATTCTGATTCAGATCCAGTGTTGAGGTTAATGTCATTCTGAATCTTTTTTTGAATTTATCATAGAGGGTTCTATTGAATACTAACTTTAGAACTAGTATATTAAGTATATTCAATGATTAGACCTGTTAGGTGGTTCAAATCTGCAGAAAAACTAGTCAGAATATGTCATATATCAAACCTCCGAGCTATGAGACAGTAGTAGGTACCAATATACTCTAAGCCTGGAATTAATTAGGGTGTTCTAATAGTTCTACTGTCCGTTTAGGCCTTTATTTGTAATGGTTTTCAATGATTAAGCCTCTTAGATGGTTAAAATCACCAGAAAGTCAGCTTGGAATATGTCATACATCAAACAACTAATCTATGAAATCATAGCTAGTTCAATTATGCTCATACCAGTAGAATGATACTAATGGTATACATGAATTTAATCGATTGCAGACCTATGATTTAAGAATGAATTTTCAATGATAACACTTAAAAGATTGTTCAAACCACCAGAAAGCCAAGCCAGGATATATCATACATCATTTCTCTAAGCAAGAAAACTAATATTGGTACAAATATGTTCATAAATAAGAAATTATAAGGGTCTTCCAAGGGTATACGTATAACTTATCAATTTTATATATCATATTTCATGAATTTTTAATAGTTGAACATGATAAAAAGCTTAAATCTTCCTAAAACTTTGCTAAAATAAGTTTTATATTTTAGATTTATTCTAAAATGCTAAATATATGAACACAGAGGGATAAATGTTAAAGCAATAGGGGTCAGTTATAGTCACACATAAAATCAGTCCCAGCTAAAATGTCATTTTTTCTTAAATTCACTAATTTTTTTCAAGGCAATTATCAAAGGAATTACTTTGATTCTTGCAGGATTAGTAGACCAGGTATTATGCCTTTTACATGGATTTTTTAAGCATCCATCATTGTCTAATAAAAAAGTTATGACACGAAAAGTAAAAAATGGGTCATAAATTTGCCCCCTGGGGTACATACTTTTTGCTTTTATTCAAATTTCTTAAGGGTAATCCGTATCATTCATACTTCAAATGTTTATTTTATACAATGTCCATGTATTTCACTTACAAAAACCATAAAATCAAAGTTATTTTAGGTTGACGAATTTTTTCCCCCTGATAGGGGTGAATTTTGGGGGTAGGGGGACTAACATGGTATTTTAAGGGTTAAATAATCATATTTCAGCTTGCCAACATGGTTTTTTGGATTCAGCATAAAAAGTTACATAAGAAACACTTGTCAGAACACTTTTAACACTAAACGCCTACCACATTTTACAGAGAGACCTTTTGCAGAAAAGCACCCGGTCTATAAAGCCGAAAAGGGCAAATGACTTACCGATAGAATCCGGAACGTTCTGTGTTTGGTGAATCTTACTGACTTCTCCTTGAGCTTCATATTTTCCGACTCCGACGGGATCTTCATTTTGATTTGAAACTGTTTTTACTAACAATCCCAATTGTATACTGTTTGGAGAAGACCGAAAATGTTTGGCAATACGCTGTTTCGAATCGTTCCACTGTTCATACACTATTTTGTGGTGATTAAAATCTGATCGTTTGGAATTGAAATTGTCTCTTTCATTCGATATAGTATCTTTCCACGATTGTTGAATAGCATCAACATATTGATCAGCAGCACTCTGGTTTTGGGAAGATCGCAAATCTGGCATAGTTATTTGGACAGGAGAAACTATCTGTCTTGATAATATATAATATATTTGAAGAAACAATACCCAATTCCTATATATTGCATAACTGCACGGTTCATCAGCTTTCAAATACATAATGTCGGAACATGTGTTGAAATAGTTCATAATTCTTTAGTTCAGCAAGTTTTGCATTCCGTTTGAAATCTCCTGTACTTGAATTCGGCACTTTCACAATTTTCAATTAATACTATACGCATATCCAATTCAACTAAAATTGCATACATGCAGAGGTTGACACGCTCTCATCTTCTTCTATAATCTCCTCGGTGTGACAGAAATAACTGAATAATACAAATTATGGAGATGTCCAATTATAAAAGATTTTGTTACTGACAAGGAAGTAAAATATGTATCGTCTGTAAAGCCATTTGATTGGTTGGGAATTTGGAAAGTAGCTTAGGTGGAATTTCATACATTTCATATCTTTAAATACGTATAAGTAACTCAATGGAATTCCACGAATCACTGTTTACTTATTGACGAAAGCAGTTTATATTGTGTAGCAAATATACAAAGATTTTTAATTATAATAATGAAAGTTGAATTAAACACATCTATACAAAAATACAGGTTGTATACAGGTAACCTTTTGATCGGATCTGTGCATGAGAATGAAATTAATTGAAAAGAATATATTGAGAAACAAAAATATATGAGACCGCAGAAAATATAATGTGAGTTAGAATTGCATGTTTCAGTGCAAATAGAGACCACTAAGGGCGAATTGTATGTTATTAAATGCGTCGTATTTTAAAAAATCTTCCATTCATTTGCTTGAAATATATACTTAGTATACGTTTTAAAAGATGAACTGTGATTTTAAAATGAGCCCCAATTTTAAGCTCAATATCAATTGTGCGAACGTTTAGTGTTTGTTCTTCACGGACTATTCTCCTACTGCCAAAACTGGGACCAAGGCTTTGATAGAATTAAGAATTAACAATGATTTCATGTTTATGGAACTTTCTTAAGATATTTCGTCTAAGATCAGCCATTTTTAAAACTTCCGAGACGACAGTCAGTATGCAGTTATGATTTGGGACAAGCCCAAATCATGATCTCGATGTTAATTATGAATGATTGACTTGACATCAGGATGTAATCAAGTGGATACGATATCCACATTATAAATCAATGGAACCAAATAAAATAATAAAAACAAAAAAATGAATGTCTGCCCTCCTTTTGAAAATAAGAGGTAAGGTCAAAATTGTCCTTAACAACATTGTTTATCATATTTTCACATTTTAAATTTTGTAAATGATGATTTTGCACACAAGAATCTTTAATTTTCAGATATGAACCGACTTGACCTCGATCAATAACAATTAGGATGCACCTGAACACTATGCCATAATTAACTCCTCTCTAAATACCATAAGTCATAATGGTTATCCAGTGTATCAATATACACAGCCAATCTCAAACTGTAGTTGTACAGCGCTGTTTTTGAAACAGTACTGTACAGCGCTGTAAAAACAGTGCCATACAGCGCTGTTTTCTGAAACAGTACTATACAGCGCTCGAAGGCAAAAACCGCTTTTACAAACTGGCTTCTTACGTACTACAGAAGCCGGCTTCTGGAGTCACCAAGAAGCCGGCTTTTAAAAGCCGGCTTCTGAAGGACAACAGAAGCCGGCTTCTGGAGTCACCAAGAAGCCGGCTTTTACAAACTGGCTTCTTACGTACTACAGAAGCCGGCTTCTACAGTCAACAAGAAGCCGGCTTTTAAAAACCGGCTTCTGAAGGACAACAGAAGCCGGCTTCTGGAGTCACCAAGAAGCCGGCTTTTAAAACTGGCTTCTTACTTACTGACGTACTGCAGAAGATGGCTTTTGAATATAGTTTATATTGTCATATTTTTGCAAAACTATACGGGTAAATTGAATTCTAAGCATGGATATCGATAAATGTGATCCGTTCATCAATTCCAAAAATATTATGCATTGTATTTCTGTTTAATAAAAACGCACCGCTCATTTTTCAAAACTGGCTCCAATTTGGAGTCAGTTTTCAAATTAGCTCGCACCATTAAACACAAGCTATTAACGGACAATCTAGCCACTGGGAATCACGAGATACTGTCTCCCGATCATTTTGATGTGGATTATGCATCTTATTCTCGTATAATCTGCATGAAAATAAGGAAAAACTGAAAAATATGTAAAATTATAACATAATTCAATATTTTATGCAAAAAGTCATTTCATGTCAAAACTATAAGAGAAAATTGAAGTCTAAGTAAAAAATATCGATGAATTAGATCATGTTCACTAAATCAGAACAGATTATGCAATGCATTTCCGTTTTATAAAAACGCACCGCTCATTTTTCAAAACTGGCTCCAACTTGGATCCAGTTTATAAATCAGCTCGCTCCATCTTACACAAGCTATGTAGGGACAATCTAGCAACTGGGAATCACGGGATACTGTCTCATGAATTTTTTTATGTGAATTATGCATCTTATTCTCGTATAATTGGCCTGAAAATGAAAAATACGTTAAATTGTAACTTATTTCAAGATATTTTGCAAAAAGTCATTTCAAGCCAAAACTATGAGAGAAAATTCATTTCTAAGTAAAAATATCGATGAATTAGATCACGTTCACTAAATCAGAATAGATTATGCATTGCATTTCCGTTTAATAAAAACGCACCGCTCATTTTTCAAAACTGGCTCCAACTTGGAGCCAGTTTACAAATCAGCTCGCTCCATCTTACACAAGCTATGTAGAGACAATTTAGCATCTGTGAATCACGTGATACTGTCTCGCGATCATTTCTATGTGAATAATGCATCTTATTCTCGTATAATTGGCCTGAAAATGAAAAATACGTTAAATTGTAACTTATTTCAAGATTTTTTGCAAAAAGTCATTTCAAGCCAAAACTATGAGAGAAAATTTATTTCTAAGTAAAAATATCGATGAATTAGATCACGTTCACTAAATCAGAACAGATTATGCATTGCATTTCCGTTAAATAAAAACGCACCGCTCGTTTTTCAAAACTGGCTCCAACTTGGAGCCAGTTTACAAATCAGCTCGCTCCATCTTACACAAGCTATGTAGGGGCAATCTAGCAACTGGGAATCGCGGGATACTGTCTCACGATTTTTTTTATGTGAATTATGCATCTTATTCTCGTATAATTGGCCTGAAAATGTGAAAAAAACTGAAAAATACGTTAAATTGTAACTTATTTCAAGATTTTTTGCTTGAAATGACTTTTTGCAAAAAATCTTTAAATATATTACAATTTTATGTATTTTTCAGTTTTTTCTCATTTTCATGCCAATTATACGAGAATAACATGCATAATGCACATAAAAATAATCGTGAGATAGTATTTCGTGATTCCCAGTTACCATATTGTACACTCCCCTCCATAAGTTTGGCAACCTTTTTTCCCCCATTGAACTACGTGTTTAAGCCTCTTTACCTTTGAATTTTTATTTACTTAACCTGCGATGAAAATACTTATACTATTGATGGAAACGTCATTTGACTTTAATTCCAATACCTCCAAATTTTCTCAATTTTTTCCTCAACTACAGTAGGTCGAAAATTGATGATGAATTTGATGAATTTTTGAAAATCGACATTCCCATGTTAACCAATGGGAAATGGTACGTTTGACAGAATATTCATCCATCCGAGTCCTTGCAAAAAATACGAGTTAGGCAAGTAATTGAATTTGCTAACTTTATTTAACGAAAAATTGATATGTTTCTTCAGGTTCAACAAAGTTATAGGGCTTTAAAGTCAAAATTGTTTTTCAAAAAACCTCTCCCATTGAAATAACACAGGAGGCGAAAAATTCTTTTCAGAAATGACTTTGAAGCGCTGTAACTTTAATATTCATGAAATAAACTAAACACTTAGTGTTCAAAAAGTTAGACAATTCAATTTTCTATATAAAAATATTTTTTGCTGAATCTTTTAATGAAAAGATATCCTGATTTCCGATTTGCCCCGAACCCTCCATTTCCCATTGGATTACATGGAAATGACGATTTTCAAAAATTGCTTTCAAAGCAAATTATCTCAGCCTCGGGACCTATACCTTGGATTTTATACCTGAAATACAATTCTAGTAAGGAGTATCACGTTAGAACAACTTGTCAAAATTTGGTGTTAAAATACTGAATAGAACTGGAGACTATTGTCATTTCATTGATGTATATAAATAAAAATAATGGTGCCAAAGGAGCCTATCGTCCTGAAAGGTATTACATAATATGGCTCCATATGGACCCTACCGTCGTGAAAAGGTTAATGAATTAATGCAACCGGATATGAGGTGGAAAGCTAGATGTGGGCATGGTGACTTTTTTGACTCAGTGCATTGTGTGCTGAACCATTCCACGAAGATGTTGTTTCCAAATCTTTGCATGACCCCGCAGGGGAATGCAAGGTTTAGGAAACAACATCTGAGTGGAATGAAGCAGCCACAATGCATCGAGTCTGGGATTAAATACTTTTCATACATTGTAAAATATTTTATATAAAATAAAATGAAATGATATTTCACACACTGTTTATTATGTGAATACTCTGTTCCGATTGGCCTTGTTCGGATCGGAAAAACCTTGCCTAGCTATGTGTGAAGCACGCTGTTTACCCTATTATAGGCAGTAATAAATCTTTACAGCCACTCTCGCCAGGAAAGCTATCAGAGCGTATATACATTTGGGAACTACGCGCATCTAACGTTTAAATATTATCTACAGTTTCCACACTGAAAAGAGAACCATAACCACATCCAGGGATATTTCAATATGGGAGACAGCAGGACTCCAATTGCAGATCCAGCGATCAAGTTCACACAGGTACAATTGGAATAATTTTTTTTTGCTTTTTGATAAAATGAATATAATTGAATTGAGTTATTACTACCATAACAGATTTGCACTGTTCCACAACTATTTACTTTGACAGAACGTCAATCATGAATGTAACAAAATGGATACGCTTTGCATTCGTTCGACTGTACCTCTAAAAGAAAGCTTCATCTGAGGTAGTTTATAACTAGACTCTGCCTGTAGGGCACAAAATGGATGAACTTCATGGATAGATTTTTGTTTTCTCGATTTAGACCTACTTATAAGTCAAGTTGCATATTATAATTTAGCAAAAAGTTAGACAATAGTCTTGCTTTAAAAATGCATTTGATTTGGGACAAAGCTTTTATTCATACATTTAGTCCCTGGTTTTTGTTACATTGACGTAAGTCTACGTCAAAGTAAAATTGGTTATTTAATGGATTTTCGTCAATGTAACAAAAATGAGTAACTAAATATATGACTTACAACTTCATTTTAAAATCAAGTAAATCGAAGGCATTTTTAAAGCTAGACTATATTTTCTAGCTTTGTGCTAAATCATAATATACAACTTGACTTATAAGTTACCCTGCGCACAAAGTCTAGTTATAATTAAACTACTAAAGACGAAGCTCTCTTTTAAGAAGTGAAGTCGAACGAATGCAAGGGCAATTATAAGTAGGTTTAAATCGAGAAAGAAAAAACTCGTATCCAGGAAGTTCATCCATAAAGGTAGTACAGTAGGTAACAGGGCCGTCAGATGGGGGGCATTGTTTTTTGTAATTTTTTTTCATTGACTCATACACTTTGAAAGTACCCAGAAAGCACCAAATAGCATCTTAAAATTGTACAATTTTCTAGGGGTATTGGCCACCCCTCACACCCCCCACAAAACAATAGAAAAGTTCTAAATTTATTTTAGTGTTTTGTCTCAGACACTTTTAAAGTGCCCAGACATCATCAAATAGCTCCTTGATATAATAAGTGTTTCTGGGGGACTTGCTCCCCCTCATGCATCTTGCACTTGCATAGACCCCCCCCCTCTGGCGCCCCCCCCCCCCCCTTGACCCCCCCCCCCAAAAAAAAATTGTGATTTTCTCAAATTCTTTAATTAGTTTCACATAGACTAATACACTTTAAAAGTGCCCAGAAGCACCAAATATCATCTTTAAATTGTAAAATTTTCTAGGGGGAGTGGACCACTCCTCACACCCCCCACAAAACAATTGGAACTTTTGGAAGTTGCATTTGTTAATTCCAAACCAATATAGGGAGTAACTGAGCCCCCCCCCCCCCCCCCCTCTGACTTACGCGATTTGATTTACGCGGCAAAAAAAATGACAATTTTATATTCTCTTTAGTAAGCTAAAAACCGCACCCCCCTTGGAGAAAAGTGTCTTACGGGCCTGGGTAATTGGCTGAATAGCCTACCCTACAATATCAAGCACTCGGGTAGAAAAGGAAGTCATCTCGCCGGTGTCATTATTAGGATAAAAGCTTGTTTTTGTAAGAGGGCCTTAGTTTAAGTAACAACAGATTAAATCTGCCTGGGTGCTTTAAATAACAGATTGTAGTGGTTAATAAATATAATGCACTGGATAAGTGTGACTCCTCTGGCAACATCTAGTTTGGAAAACACCTGGAGTCAAAACATCGGGAAGAATGGCATTGAATAATTTACATTTTCTCTTACAGTCCGATCGCGAATTACTTTGTGAGTCCAAACCTAAAAATAAGCATTTGAAGGATCACGGCGCAATATTGCATTGACAAATCCTAGGGCATTTTGTATTTTGTGGTTAATCGCGAAAACATGAATACGCGAAAAGAAACAAATTTACAAATACGCAAAAATTCCATGTTTTACAGTAATATTCCACTCTGTCCTTGAATTGCTTAAGTTGATTGACTCATAAAAGTGATTCGGGATCGATTACGCTCTAAAGCCGACCTCTAAAAAGCTGCATAGAAGCACGTAAGGTACAACATAAGAGAGGCCATAAATTGCTACCTTAGAATAGTCACAAACAATCTGAGATATGTAAAACATTGAGCATTTGATATGTGTTTTTCAGGTCAAATTAAAGCAACAAATAATCAAAAATAACCTTATATACTCTCCCATTCTCTCCATGTGAACAGGGATGATCGATACGTTACATGGTCAAATTTGTCAGTGATTATATATTATTTGAATTTTTAGATCTTTATCAACAATGAGTTCGTGAACTCTGTCAGTGGCAAAACATTTGCTACCTGCAATCCATGCTCGGGAGAAACCATTGCACAGATACAAGAAGGGGATAAGGTAAGTGAAGTTGGACACGCCTAATACTGTATACTATTGCGGGAATAATTGCTTTCATTCAGGGACTAGTCATTGCAGCTGTAGATTGGTTTCGGTCTCGACCCCAAAAGAGTGAACCAAAAATATTAAAATATTTAAGCTGACATATCGATAAACCAGTATTATATTTCCAGGTGGTATTTTTGATAAGCCTCTAATTTATAGCAGTGACATCAACATTATGCAATAGAAAACTGTAGTCACGTGGTCAAAAAATGATGCATCAAAACATAACAATAACCTACCTAAAAACCGTCTTTAATACCCAACCAATCTAATCAGTTCTTGATTTCCCTTCAAATATTTTTTTAATTTATTCCGTCGATTATGGTTTGTCTGGGAATGCGCCTTTTACTTTTGAAAAATTGCCAACAAACACCCGAGGCCCTCCCCAGATAATGAGTAATAAGTTTGAGAGGAGGGAGAAAGTGACCTCAACCTTAATGAAAAATATAGAGATGTATAATGACCCTCATCGCTGATTGGTCGATGACATAGGAGCTACGTGTAACGAAAACCGAATATACTAGATGCGAGTAAAAATAATCTTAATTTACGTCATTAAATATTCAAAATTTAGTCAATATGGTTTCGAAAATTGTTTAAAACTTTGAAAATTTAATTTTGTTTGAAAATGTGACTTCTAGTTCGGGTTGATTCCCCATAGACCCCATGTTACAAAATCACAAAAAGTGAAATATCTTTTATTGTATTGGACAGATATTTATATTTGCATAACATTAGGGTTACATGAAAATTGAACCACTAAAACATATGTAATTTAAGTTAAAGGGAACTACCTTTACCCTACCCTATTATCTAGCGTCTTTACCAATATAGCTTGTTATTTGACGTCAAGATAAAGAAAGATGTATTTTAGTAATATGTTTACATCGATTTTAAAAATATCACATCAACGTATGGTAATCAGAATCTAGATGTTGGAAATTAGGACAAACGGAGGTGGTAAAACAAGGGAGGTAATTTTGAGGTCATTTCTGAGCTCTGGGGTTTTCCCTCCTCTTAATAAGTCTTTGATAATATCCTTTAATTCAGAAAGCATTGACCTATCATGATGAGTTTTTTCATGGGAAGGAAAGTTAAATTGTTAATTTTGAGAGCTTTCCTTTGTGTTCGTAGTTGCCCCATGTTTTTAGTTAAAATGCTTTTCAGTCATCAGTCAAGGTTAAAAAGAGTTACAAACAATAAAACGATTGCAAAACAAGAGGGTAAGATGTTTTTACAAGCTTTTATTTTGTCACAAATGGAGAATTTATGTCTCCAAGGGAATGATAGTCGAATATGAATTCATCACATGCTTAAAATATACAATGTTGTTTGTTGCAAATTTGGGGAATACTCGCGGGATTTCATCGGACCGTTATGGTATGTGAGCAAAATATCACATCTAATCATTATGATCATTTGTTAAAAAGCTACGCTCACAAGTATACCCAAAGTCGCACCACTGAAAGTCAGAACATAAATGACACATGGCCCATACTTTGAGGAAATAGTATAGTTTTATAATTAGTATAATTTTTTCAAGTTAAATACATTTCTACCACCAATTGCCAATTTGGCATTATATTATAGACATTGTAGGTTGGCCATATGATTTACGATGCTGTACATACAAAATAAAAATACAATCGTTTTACTGTTTTTGAACGACTGTGCATCGGACCCGAGGTCGTTACACACAATCATGATTACCTTGGTTCAACTGCCGAAATTAATAGTGGGACTTGTTTTTCATCCGTGTTTTTTTCAATGTTTGAATTATTTGATCATTTTGCCAACTGTCGAGACAGAACATGATTACGGGTGCAAACAGTAACCGTCGAACCATGGATATGATCATGTACTGAGACGTTTGAAAAAGTATTTTTCTTTCTAGGAAAATTGTACGTTCATAAATCTCGTAGAGAACTCATGATTTGAGTGAAACGAATTACCATTTTACATATTTCAACCAAATATGATGAAATTGGTTCATTCGAGAAAAAGGAGCTAGAGAATTTCAAAAGTTACTCATGAGGCTTCCAAAATGACCTCATGAGGCTTCCAAAATGACCGCTGTGAACTAGTTGTCATAGTAGCATGCAAAACTTTGGTCCTTGTGAGATTAGTTCTTTCTTTCATATAATATACTTTGCCCCTGGAAGAAACCATTTGAGAGGTGGACAGCAATTCCTAAGGTGAAACGTGTAGCTAAACTAACCTATTTTCGAGGAACGAGTTCTAATAAGAGTAAACATGATCATCCCTACCATCTCTAGTCAAGATACCATTTAAAAACGGACATCCTGACACGTGTTGTTTCAAGGACATTTTGAGCATTTTTACAGTTAGTTGGTTACGAAAGTCAGTCGCGCGCGGGTGTTTATCTTTTATCTATTGATTAGTCTAGCTAAAAGCCTTTGTGCTAATCCCCCCCTCCCCCTCCTACTACACACCTCCCCTGAAATTTTCACACCTGTGGGGTCAGGTAGTGGAGAGGGTCACGGAGGCTTGTAGTTAAACTATATACTGTGTTTCTTAATTTTAAGTCATCCCTTATCATTTTAATAAGTAGAAATATATATCTATTCTATATCTATAAATATTTTTACTAGGATGACGTAGATAATGCAGTCAAGGCAGCAAGAGCTGCTTTCCAGCTCGGGTCGCCATGGCGACGGATGGACGCTTCAGAAAGAGGCCGTTTATTGTACAAACTAGCAGATGCGCTAGAGAGAGACTTCGCATACCTGGCGGTAACTATTTTATAGTTTGATATTATCTCCGCATTTGCCAAAGCGAATTATACATAGGCTGTTGACATTTGCATTCAGAGAAGTGGCTATTAATTGTAAATAAATGTTTGAACCAAGTCTAAAACCTAGAAATGATATTGTTTACTCTATTTTTTATGGAGATACGCAAATTTTTTATCACCCTCTAGACACGGTATAGTATGAAATAAAGAAATTATACTGACATTGAGAGTAGAATCAGTGATGAAATGCAACCTGGGATTAGCCATTGTAATTCGTTCTAATGAACCAACTTATGAGAATAGTTCATTTTTAGAGCCTTGAGGTATTGGACAATGGAAAACCTTTTTCGGCAGCTACATCTTTTGACCTGACATTTGGCATAAAGTGTATGCGCTACTACGCCGGTTGGGCTGATAAGAATGTCGGACAAACCATTCCAGCAGGTTCGTTGCTAAGTGACTCAGGAGTCCGTTTATTAGAATAGTCTAGACTTACAATATGGTCATGGTTCGTCAAAAAGTAGAAATTGGTTTTCTCTAAATCGTAAGTTAAGATCGTGCCAAAAAACTAACCTTAGTTAAAATCGTTACAACCCGTTACCTTCACTGAACTTTGACAATGTCCTGGATATTACTAGTATTCAAGCTTTGCTAACTTGAAAAGAAACCAAGTTTTTTATCAAGGTTAAAAGTGCAAGTTATAGTCCGTTAAGGTAATACATAGCAAAACACAACTACCCTAGCATCGGGCCCTTTCAAAATATGTACAAAAAGATATTTTACATTTTGGCAAGTTATTTTAGGAAGAACTTCATCCTAGTAAGAACCCAAGGTGCATCGACAAGTTGCACATTAATGAGCTTACATGTTAATGCCATGATGTTCAAAAAAACAATTCATAAAGGAAATTCACAAAAATGCCATAAAAATGGTACACGAGGTCTTTAATTACCTTTTTACTCTTCGGGGCTATTAAATAATTACTACTATAGATAAAGATCTGTCTTGAAATGGGTGCATTCCCATTGGGGAACAAACTTCTCAAAACTGAGAACTGAGAACGTATCAATCACTCATTTACTTTTATCTTAGACGGTGACTTCTTCCTTTACACGCGTCATGAACCCATTGGAGTGTGTGGCCAAATTGTTGCCGTAAGTATTGTTAAATCGCAACCGTTAAATCAATTTCTCGATGCAAGTCCGAATATTATAGTTTCAGATCATCATTTCCATGAATATTCAATCAATGTGTAAAACGAAAATATCGTTAAATTGTTCAATGATAAGATAAAAATTAAAAATAAGGTAGAATCGTACATTAAGTCATCATTATTTGTTTCGTGTGTTACTGTTGTACATAATGATCAGATGATTTTAGTAGAATTTTCAAATTGTTGTTATTTTCAGTGGAATTTTCCATTGTTGTTATTTTCAGTGGAATTTTCCATTATTGTTGGTGATATGGAAGATTGCTCCTGCTCTGGCGTGTGGGAATACGGTTGTCGTGAAGCCGGCCGAACAGACGCCCCTCAGTGCCCTCTATCTAGGCTCCCTCATAAAAGAGGTTTGTTAATGTGAAAGAGACAGTCCTTGTTCAAAATGATCAGATTTGAACAAATAACATTGTACATACACTTGAATAAATATTGAATTGTGTACAATCTACACATCTATATAAGGTTAATTTGGAACAAGCCTGGTCGGCCTTGTCATAATTTGATTTAATTAAAAATCACTATCATTGCGATTTCTAGGTGGGTTTCCCGCCAGGAGTTGTAAACATAGTCCCTGGGTATGGCCCAACCGCCGGTGCAGCTCTCTCCGAACACATGGATGTTGACAAAATCGCGTTTACTGGCTCAAGTGAAGTTGGAAAACTCATCATGGCAGCAGTCGCTAAGTCTAACTTAAAGAAAGTGTCGTTGGAACTGGGCGGAAAGAGCCCCAATATAATATTTGCAGACGCCGATAGTACGTATACTACTGAGTGTGTTTCATAGTCTTGGTCTTGTCCCCATCCATACAACTCAACTACCGCTCCTTTGCCAAAAAGGCTACCCTTAAACTTCAACATTGACCAAGTTTAATCTGTAATCTAAAGTCAGTTTCTCGTAATTTTCTATACTCTTTTACCAAAGAAATGATGATCTTGTACTGAGAGAACAAAAGACTTATATAAAGTTATTTTTACAGATCCATTGTCATCACTGGACCCACCTTGGTAAAGTTATGATAATATGTTGTCGTGGCGAGTTCTGTTGAGAGTAGTGTAGTATTGATGATAAAAATTGTGTGTCGAGTGCCGTTAAGTGGCCCGTAGTGTAGTAATGATGATATAGTGTTGTGGGGGGTGCCGTCGAATGGGCTCTTAGTGTAGTCATGATGATATATTGTAATGGCGAGTGCCGTCGAATGGGCTCTTAGTGTAGTCATGATAATATATTGTAATGGCGAGTGCCTTCTAGTAATGATTATGATACATTAAATTCGCAAGTGTCGTCGAGTTGTCCCTTAGTGTACTGACGATACATTGTAGTGGCGAATGTCGTCTTGTAATTATTATGATATACATATTGTAGTGGCGAGTGTCGTCTAGTGGGTCCTTAGTGTAGTACATGTAATGATAATATATTGTAGTGGCGAGTGCTGTTGAGTGGGCCCATCAGGGAGTGTGCTTCAACAGCGGCCAGGTTTGTTGTGCAGGAAGCAGGACATACGTTCAGGAGGAGATATATGATGAGTTCATCAAGAGATCTGTTGAGAGGGCCAAGTCAAGGAAGATCGGTAACCCCTTAGACGCTGATACAGAGTCCGGGCCGCAGGTGGGGAGGCCAATACATTTAGTCCGTCAAAGTCATCGGATCGTTTACACGGTTGAACTATACTAATCAAGTATTCAAGACCAAAAGTGTGAAGAACTGTTACATCAGTGACCTCATTCAGTCATTGGCTTAATTTGTTTCTGTTATTGAACATGGCTACGCCTCAATATTAGTCCCTTATCAGCATTTATTTTTAATTGTAGATCAACAAAGAGCAATTGGACAAGATCCTGGGTTTGATTAAGAGCGGGCAAGAAGAGGGGGCCAAACTTCACTGTGGAGGAAAACAGATCGGAGACAAAGGATTCTTTGTTGAAAATACCGTCTTTTCTGACGTCACTGATAACATGAGGATTGCAAAGGAAGAGGTTAGTTGAATCGCTAGTCATCATTTTTGATTAGGACTAAACAAGTTAGATTTCGTCAATATCATCCTCGAACTTTTTGTTTCAGATTCACCCGTTATTGAGTATCTTCATCACATTTTCAGATATTTGGACCCGTGATGCAAATAATAAAATTCAAAGACATAGAAGAGGTGATCCCGAGAGCCAATAACACTGCATATGGATTGGCAGCTGCCGTGTTTACAAGTGACATCAACAAAGCAATAATGCTTTCCAACAGTGTAAGGGCAGGGACAGTCTGGTAAGATCATTGGTCATATTAGCTTGGTTTATCAAGATGATCTCATAATTCATTTGTTGCTTCTCATAATTCATTTGTTCTTTCTCATAATAATAAATTCCTTGGTTGTTTCTTGTTATATTGTTTTTCTCATCATGTGTTTGTTGATTCTCATTATCCAGGGTGAACTGCTATAATGCCTTCCAAGCTAATGGTCCATTTGGAGGATTCAAGGAGTCCGGGACTGGACGAGAACTGTAAGTCATAAATACGGTATCTCTGTAAGGCTGTTAATACAATGTACAGTTTACATTTTGAATTAATTGATCCAATATCCCAGGATGTTCTACGACCACTCTCCATTATTTAAGATTCGATAATGAATGATGAAAATACTGTGAATAACCCAGATGCGAGTAGAAATAATCTTGATTTACGTCATTAAAATTCAAAATTCAGTCAAAGTAATATCATATTTGAAAGCTACATGTAAAATTACATCTAGAAATGTGGTTTTAAAAAGTGTTTATCAACTTTGAAAAATTAATTTTCTTTGAAAATGTGACTTCTAGCTCGGGGAGATTCCCCATAGACCCCATGCTATAAAATCACAAAAAATGAAATATCTTTTCTTTTAGTGGACAGATAATATTTTGCTTTACTGAACATATTTTCATTAGTATAAGTATCAGACACATAAGGGTTATATGAAAATTGAGCCACTTAAATTGATAATATTCAAGTTTAAGGGAACTTTCTTATATACAGTCGAAATGTTGAGGCATGCGCAGACCTCTATTTAGTGATATTTTCATTTCAAATATGGCGGCCAATCCCAGGGCCGTCAGATGGGGGGGGTGCGACCGCACCCCCCTTTGTTACCCCCCAAAATAAATTTGAAAAAAAAATTGAAAAAAGTTTTTTTTTTGAAAAACATTTTTTTGTAATTTTTTTCATTGACTCATACACTTTGAAAGTACCCAGAAAGCACCAAATAGCATCTTAAAATTGTAAAATTTTCTAGGGGTATTGGCCACCCCTCACACCCCCCACAAAACAATGGAAAAGTTCTAAATTTATTTTAGTGTTTTGTCTCAGACACTTTTAAAGTGCCCAGACATCATCAAATAGCTCCTTGATATAGTTAGTGTTTCTGGGGGACTTGCTCCCCCTCTTGCATCTTGCACTTGCATAACCCCCCCCCCCCCCTCTGGCGCCCCCCCCCCTCTTGACCCCCCCCCCCCAAAAAAAAAAAAATTTGAAAAAAAAGTTTCATTGACTCATACAATTTGAAAATGCCCAGAAAGCACCAAATAGCGTCGTAAAATTGTAAAATTTTCTAGGGGGAGTGGGCCACCCCTCACACCCCAAACAAAACAATGGAAAAGTTCTGAATTTGTTTTATGTATTGTCTCAGACACTTTTAAATTGCCCAGACATCATCAAATAGCTCCTTGATAAAGTTAATGATTCTGGAAGACGAACACTTACTCGCCCTCTGGCATCCCCACTCCACCTCCCCCTCTGGCAGCCCACCCCCCTTAACACCCCCCACTGGGCGAAGTGACCAAATATAAACAATTTTAATCACAAATAATCAGTGAATAAATGATTATTATCTGGTTAAAACCTATTATCGAGACTATTATTGCTGTTTATCGCTGATTATCGAGACTTATTAATCAACAATAACCAGTGTTTTCACTGGTTATTACGATAATCAATTCTTATTAATGTGTAGCCAATGGCAAAAATTCCAACTGATTATTATGTCAAGTGATTATTCACCCAACTGATTATCGCTTTGTTTTCATTAGAAATTAAGAACCTTCTACCATTTATGCGTCTAGCGCTTCAAATTATTATCCGTTGAATAAACAAACTATAGCCTTTGTCTAGCTAAAGAATATGAATTTTTGCGAAATTGAATTTTTTATTCAAACATTTTTTTAAATTCATTATCAACCAAACAAAAAATAAAAGAAACTCATTTTTAGAATTTCATTTAATGTTAGACTTTATTTAGCATCCTCCCCCCGACTGAAAACCGAAATATTTTTGGCAATCGCACCCCCTCCCCCCCCCCGACTGAAAGCTGGCTACGCCCCTGATATCTGTTATTGGCCATCAATAAACTATATTTATATTGTGAGCATTTATGGGTTTTGATAACAATAGGCTTTACACTAGTACATGTATAATTAATCAAATTTCATATTGTATCATGTTGGCTAAATCGTTTCAAGTGAGGAATTAAGAACTGTAATCGGGGTTTGCTTAGTTTGAGTCAGGGAACAAAATGTAATCAGACGGACGGATTAATTAATATTTGTTTTGATAAATTAGTATTATAGGCTATAGGCAGAATCATGGGAACCAAGTTGTCGTGTATAGGATTATTTTTTGTTTACTTCAGAATTGAGTGAACCATCTGTAGTTTTAAAAACAAGGATCAATAAATACATCTAATCAAGATCAAATATTAGAAATCTATTTTTGACTGGACAAATTCTTCTTCTCGAATGTCAAACAGAACCTTCATGTTCTTTATTCATTTATTCATTTGGAACTTTTATTTAAATTATTTCAATCAAACGTGTGTTGATGCTCCGAGCTAATACTTTTAATTGACAAAATGTTGCAATAGGGGGGGGGCATAATTGTCTTTATTACATTTCTTGTACATTATTACATACACACCAAACGCGACCCGATCGGGGAGGGGATTCGGGTTGCGCACAGTGCACAATTTGTTATCTCTTTATGCATGTTTTATTGCCAAATTAATATAAAAACAAGCTGGAGAAACATAAGTATTTATATTTTGTTTTTTGTTACCACACGTCAAAAGGCGCATTTGAAGAAAAATGTAAGAAGACTTGACTAGACATTATGTACTTATATATTTATATGTTACGTATTTATTATGTATTCAATTCAAATTCTGTTCACTCGCACTCCTTGAACCACCCCACCCCTTGGCTACGGGTATAAGTACTTTCGGCACACGGAGAGAATAACATTAGACTTCCGCAATGCAACTACATGTAATAAGAGAGACCTAAAATGAAAATAATGTAATGTAAAAATATACAATTGTAGTCCATCACAAAGTTCATTTATTTCATAAAAGCGTCAAGGGACAGTGCCTCTAAAGACTAAAATAAACAAATTAACTTCCGTTGTAGAAACATCCTGTAGTGGAAAAAACAAATGACTTTTCATAACGGATTAGAATAGCCAGTCTGTCTAATTGTATAATATATTAGATACATTTTAAATTCCTTTATACTTCTTATCACAGACAGGTTGATCATTTTATTTAGACAAGAGATTTTATTCCAGCAGTGTCATTTGTAATTAGCCCTTTGAAGTTTAATCAGTCACAATAATCAGTTGGTCGGTTATTCAGTAAAGACAAAAGTGATTATCGCTAGGCCATGCCTGTTGCCATTGTATCTAGCCTTTAAAAGTTATAATTAGGTCAGGATCAGACTGTGTCTGCTTATTAATGATTATTCTAATACATTAATCGCTGATTATTATGTGTTAATTCCAACCTGTTTGTCTAGTGCCCCCCCCCCAAAAAAAAAAAATTGAGATTTTTCAAATTTTTTTATTGACTCATACATTTTGAAAGTGCCCAGAAAGCACCAAATAGCATCTTAAAATTGTAAAATTTTCTTGGGAAATATGCGCTTTTAGGCACAGACACTTTTAAAGTGCCCAAACTTCTAATGGAATTAAGCACCTTGATATTGTAAGTTTTGATATGGGGGACAAACACTTGCTCTCCCACTGGCACCCCAGCCCCACCTCCCCCTATGGCACCCCTCTCCCCCCTCTTTGACACCCCAAAAATCTGAGATTTTTCAATGTTTTTATTGACTAATACCTTTAAAAGTGCCCAGAAGCACCAAATATCTTTAAATTGTAAAATTTTCTAGGAGAGTTAGCTATCCCTCACATCCCCCACAAAACAAAATAACTATTCTGAATTTCATGTATTGTCTCAGACATTTTTTAAGTGTCCAGACATCATCAAATAGCACCTTGATATGGTCAATGTTTCTGGGTGACAACCCCTTGCTCCCCTACTGGCACCCCACCCAACTTCACCCTCTCATCCTCTTTGACACCCCCAAAAGAATTTGAAAAAAATTCACATTTTTCTTATCGACTCATAACGCACAGGCGTACCAGATGGTTCCAAGTTCGCTCCAAATACAAGCAAATTTCAAAATTTTCTTGGGGGAGAACCCCCAGACCCCCCTGAATGCTCAGTTTTTTATTCACTCAACTCTTATTCTTGTGGTGGTGGCGTACTACTAACTTAGAAACTTACACTTTGAAAGTGCCCAGAAAGCACCAAATAGCATCTCAAAACTGTAAAATTTTCTAGGGGGAGTGGACCACTCCTCACACCCCCCACAAAACAATTGGAACGTTTGGAAGTTGCATTTGTTAATTCCAAACCAATATAGGGGGTAACTGACCCCCCCCCCCCCTCTGTCTTACGCGATTTGATTTACGCGGGAAAAAATTGACAAATTTATATTCTCTTTAGTAAGCTAAAAACCGCACCCCCCTTGGAGAAAAGTGTCTTACGGGCCTGAATCCGATGTCTGACGACCCTTACAAAGAATCTAGGCAGTTTGCATTTTTACCTCCTGTGAAATAACAAGTGGAATTTAGTAGTTGTTTTGTGTTTTATTATCATTCTGCATCGTAATTCTATGTGATGTGGTGTTGAAATGTCAGCAGAAATACATATCCATACGATAATCGAGTGAATCAGATAACAGATTTTTCGAAAACCCGTCTCGTGCTAAGAGTGTAAAAACTTGTATTAACATGCTCAAAAGTGCCAATGTGCACATCAATGTCAAGCTAAATCAATGTTGTGTCTAAAACAGGTACCCGATCTACTCAAAACAGCTTGTCATTCACGTATACACGCTTAGCAAACACGGCGAAATGACCTGAATCTTGGAATTTCGTTCAAGAGCTAGTAATGTTTGCTCCGGTCTTCGTCATAAGTGTTCATCAGACTTCACGCATGCGCAGGAGAAAAACCATCAACCAATAAGGTTTATAAATCAATTTTGCGCATGCGCCTTACAACGGTAAACAAATTCGTATTTATAAACGAACCAGTTTGAGATAACCCGATATCAGTCGGAGAAATCTGACGATCTACGAAACTCACTTCAAAAAATCAAATGCGGACTGACGGCGTATTCTACTATGTTTGGATCTAAGATTTTCAGTATAGATAAAGTCTTTTATGATCTTTCGAATGAGGTAAGTCTCTAGTTCGAAAGACAATCGTATCAACTTGAACAAAAGTTGAGTTTTGACGAAAAATTTTAACATGCGCAGAAGTCCCATTTTCGTTGTACCATATTGACTGTATACCTGCCATGTTAATTGGCCCGAATCAGCCACCTGGTGGTGAAACTGGTAACTACCTACTCGCATTTGGGTAATTCACGAGGGGAAAGAGTACCCGTGTATATACAACCTACCGCCGAGCAAGACACGCATATACCGCCGAGCAAATGTTTGATAATGTCATCTCGTAGGAAAATGGACAAATAAAGGTAATATAATGTCACTAACAATTCCTTTGGATGGTTAGAATTGTTACTAAGATGTTCTAGCAGGCGCAATTCGCCTAGAATTACAGTTGAAATATATTTTTATGTCCAAATTAAGAGATAAGGTAAACGTATAATGGTTTTCGATTTGTTTTTCTCATTCATACTCGCTTTAATTGATAATGAGCCATACATAAGACATACTTGGGTCGGTAAATGGATGTGCATATGCATAATATATTAAGTGTCAAAATATTAGGTCAAAATAGCACTTTTGAACAGCAAAATCTTCACTTAAACTTTGTCCTAAAAGATCCGATGTTATCGGACATCGAACCCGATGTGATCGACGAGTAATATTATAAAGATCCGAAAATATCTTGAGTAATAGATCTCAGAATCCGAACATTACTTGAGTAAAATCTGTTGAGATTCGATTATATCGTCGAGTTTATGACGTGCTGATGAAAAAATAATAAACATACAATCTGCATCATTCATGTGAATCATTTTGTTGTGAACAATAAATGAAACTGAAAAAATATGGCTATCACCAGTTACCACTGCACATCGAAACATTGTATTTCAGGTCCTCGGTACAAATGCTTCCACTGTAGTTATAAATCACACGAGATGGATGACTTTGTGGTCCACTTCAGTCAGCACCATTCATTACTGAGTATTAAAGTTAATGTGCCTGAGTTAAATGGCAAGAAATGGATTTACAATGTTTTTGACTATGGTATTGTATTATCAAAGAAAGATCACGGTAATTTTCGTTTCGAGGATATGAAGCGTGTGAAGCTTGGGATTCTTCAAGTTGTGTTCTTTGAGTAGAATGGCGCTTGCAATGCAGAATTAAATGTTTTTGGGTTGCACACTTACCATAGACACATAGGAAATTATGGTGATTCAAGTGTAAGCATGAATTCAATGTTTTAAGAACTTTGTCGGAAACAGACGTTGACGTATAGTGCTGCGGGAATTATATCATATTATATTATATCCCGGTGCCAGGAGTATATGATAAATAAAAAGGAATATTTGTGATATCGTCATGATATTATATGCTCATTCGAAAGATTACTCACTACCTCATCGGGTTCTACTCACGGTATAGTCGGAATAGCTCGGTGGTAGATTCGGGTCCTATATAATCGTACTCGTGACATAATCGGGTCTTTCATTTTCAACTTTCACCGGTGATTTCAATGATATGCAACGTATGGCAGTGAAATAAATATGATACATTTACACCTATTGTATCTTTGAATCGAATGAAGTAAAGACAGCCATGGTTGTTACTTATTCAAGATGTAAATCAATATTCAAATATTTAAAAGTTGAATTTAGCGATTGGATAGTAAACATTGCGCTAAGTACTCATTTTTTGCAAACATGAGTGCCTGGAACAATAACTTTATCAGTTACGCACATTTCTGTTTTTTATCTGTTTCTCATATTGAGAAATTCAAGATATATACAAAAGTTTATAACTCACCCCCTACATTTTCAGACATCTTCGGGTCTTTGCTCGGCGGTAGGTTGTATATACACGGGTACTCTTTCCCCTCGTGTAATTGCTCATAAATGAAACATAATTCGTCAGTTTAACTCTTCCAATTGCATGTAAACGATTACGTTATGATTGATGGATTACGCATACCTGATTCCAAATGACAATAAACATGGCTGAAATAGGTATATGAATATGAATAGATGTTACTGAATATATCAGCTATTTACCATTAATTGTTTTCCAGGGGTAGCTATGCTCTCCAAGACTACTCTGAGGTGAAGACTGTTATGATACGCATACCTGAGAAAAACTCCTAAGAATATGATTTTCTGATTTAGTCAACATGGTGAACACATAAACAATAATGCTGGTTGAGAGATGGATTGAACAAAAATCGGGGGACTTAAACATCGCCAGGCTTGCCTAGAATATAACAAACTTTATATTGATATATTACACTCACCTTTAGTAGTAAAGGGTGCGTAAAAGAAAACATACAGTCCTCACGTTAGGACTACTTTTCGGCTAGGGTTAGGGTTAGGGTTTGGGTTAGGGTTAGGGTTAGGGTTAGGAGGGTTAGGGTTAGGCTTTTCGGCTAGGGTTAGGGTTAGGGTTAGGGTTAGGAGGGTTAGGGTTAGGGTAAGGGTTAGATTCTCGTAAAATTCCGGAATAAGCCGATTGGTAATGAGTGCCTATATGTAGGTTTGACTGTACCGAAGGTGTACTCACGTTACGAGATGACTGAGAGTGCGCTATCTATGGAATCTGCAGTGCCCCCCTCCCCATGTCACGTGAAACGGGTGTCCGAATCTATAAGTTTAGCTGTATGCTTATGACCTACAAATACTCACTGGCCCAGTTTTGTTTCTCTGTTTAACGATTGTTTAATAGACAGTTCAAAGTACTCTTTTGGTTGTAAACGAATGTAAACGAAAAACTACATAAACTAAATATTAGGATAATTGTGTTTATAGTTCAACATCTTACTAGAGGTTAAAAAAGCTGATATCGTCTAATTTTATCCACAAGCCCTCAGTTACCATGACTACCTACGTCATTGGATTCAATCCTTCTTATCATTACAAAAACTTGACGTTAGGTGCTATTGGAATGATGAGCGGATGCATAACTGAAAACCCTAGTATGCTAAGGAACATTGCATTAAACAGAGGTTTAATTCTAGAACGATATGACAGTAATACTTTTTTTTACCAAGCTATCATCTTATTTTGGGTCTTTTCAAACTGGACATAAATAATTAAGACTCGGATATATTTGGAATTTGATTTTAACTTTATAACCATCACTAAAATCCTCTATAAAGGTAAGTTGTGTTATTGTTTTAGAATGCATTCATTTTATATTTGCTATAATATTTACTTTTCACAAGAGTGTGCATGAGACCTAACTTTGGGTAAGGGTATTGGATAACGATTCAAATACAAGACAATCACACTCTAAACGCAGTATTTCGTTATTATTAGTAGATTATTTTTAAGATTATGCTTTCAAATACTGATATTACATGATCCATGAACGTAAATGTAATGTAAAACCTTTAATGAAAAAGCGTTTGCGTTTTATGTTTTCAGACTCATTCCATCAGTGAACGATCATGGTTGGAAATCGCTCGTGCGCATATTGCGGAAAATTATTCCACAATGCAAGCAACAGAATAAGACACGAAAATGCTTTTCACTTGAAGAAAAAGTATTCTTGTGACAACTGTGGCATGCGATTCAATCGTACAGATAATCTAAATCGTCACAGAAAATTATGGTGCCACGAAGTTAAGGCAGATGTTATTGCATCTACTTCAAGGGTAGATGAAGCTGTCTCACGCGATCAAACCGATCAATTAAGTCAAATTGGAGAAGGTGACTCGAGCCCCGTAGAAATCGATGAGGACGGCAAACAGCAGGATGATCAAGCCCCTGGTTCAGACCAAATTCAAATGGAGGTGGATAGTGACCACAATGATGATGAACAACGGGAACGTGAACCGTACGAACTCGATAATGGTACAGTAGATGAACGATTGAAAAAGATTTACATCGATAACCATCGTATCATTTACGCTCCCCATAAAAGAGGCAAGATTTTGCACGAGTACAATTTCCATCAACGGGATGGAACGATCAAGATGGCGGATTTTCTGAACCAATTGGAGGAAATTTACTTAACTGAGACCAATGTGTTCAAATTGAATTTGAGTTTTGGAATGGTTCTATCCAACAGGGAAACTGGAGAGTTGCGTTACTTTTATGCTCATAACAATGACTCTGTTTTAGCATCCCCTATTCTAATTTCTGACAGAGATGACATTGACGACACGATGGAAAAACTTCGAGAAATTGATGTGATCAACGTTTTATTTAACCAAAGACCCGATACAAAATGGCTGCCCTATCGTCTGGTGAATGTGAGATGGTCCATCACGAGCTTCGATTTTCCATTGGGCGCTGCTGTTTCACTACCTTTACATATCAAACGGAATAAAGCCATAGTCTCTCTTAATAAGCACTATGCTACGGGAAAGTTTCACGAGGACAATTATTGCGCCTTCAGATGCCTGGCCTATCATAAAGTGAAAGATGTTAGTAAACTTTCTTCCCTGGTTACATCTATGGTCGAAAAATGGAAAGAGATCACGGAAAAACAGAGACTATATGGCGTTCTTAAAAAGGAAATACCTTTATTCGAGGACACCTTTAAAATAAATGTCAACATTTATAGTATTGACGAAAGGAAGGAAGTCACGCGTGAATATATAAGCACCAACAAACATAAGGATACAATGAATCTCAATCAATTTGAAAAACATCTCAGTTATATTAAAGATCTCGCCATGTATTCTACCAAATACCGATGCAGGAACTGCGATAAACTGTTCATCAGAAGTACGGATCTCAAAAGGCACGAAAATAGGTGCAGGGCCGCCTCTACTCATAAATACGTGGGAGGTTATTACAGCGTAGAGCCTAATTTATTCGAGCAACTTGAGATCCGAGGTTTCTTGGTCTCCAAGAGAAATCGTTTTTTTCCCGTTCTTTATATGCTTTGACTTTGAAGCCATGTTATCCAAGGATGACACGCCCTCTGATTCAACGAAACTGGAGTGGATGTCACGCCACATTCCCATTTCTGTGTCTGTTTGCAGCAACGTCCCAGGATTCCGAGATGAAAAATGTTTCGTAAATCCTGACACTGACCTTTTATTGAAGGACATGCTAGAGTATTGTACCTCAATTCAAAAGACCAGCGCATCTTTAATGGGCGAACGATTCAAGTCCTTACTCTCCGAATTAGATGACACCTTAGAGTCCAATGAAGAACCGGAAATTGAGAAAGAAAATGAGCAGCCTACTGAGGAAAAAAGCAAAAAGAAATATCACCCTGAACGAAAACAGCTTTGTAACCTTAGGAAGAAGCTTCATGAATACATCCAGCAAATTCCAGTGCTTGGGTTCAATTCATCTCGTTATGACCTCAACTTGGTTAAGAAAAAGATAGCAGTCTGTCTTAATAATAATGAAGATGAGATAGAATTTGTAGTGAAGAAAGGTAACGCCTACAGCTGTTTCTCAACGTTGAAGTTTAAGTTTCTCGATATAGTGAATTACGTGAGTCCAGGTACGACTTACGATGCTTTCTTGATGGCTTACGGGGCGGAAATGAGAAAATCTTACTTTCCGTACGAGTGGTTTGACAGTGAAGACAAACTAAACAGGACAGAGCTCCCTCCCTACGAAGCCTTTCATTCGTCGCTGAAAGATCACAATGTACTCGCTGCTGAATACGACACTTACCAGAGACTTCTTTCCGAAGGTATGATTACTATAGGCTATGTTATATCCGATTTTAAATCAAAATTTTGTATGGCCATTCTTACTGTTTATTTTTAGTTTGATATTGTTCTCATAAACTAAAACTACATGTGATAACTTGAAAAAGTCCGAACGTAGGCTATATAATAACCTAACTTTCAGTGTGTTCGGGCCACATGAGTTTTCTTCCAATCGACGGTATTGTTTCAAATTCACTTAAATGACTTGTTTTTATGGTTTTTATCTTGTACGAAATGTAATTCGGGGATATTCTAGTTAACGCGGGTATTCTAGTAGGCCTGTCTGCAGCTCTACCTAACTTTAACTGGAAATCTGTAGTAATACCTATCGTTATGGGTCAGATTTATGAACTAAATTGTACCATTTTGATATTGAAAGGCACGCTACGAAAGTGTCAGAATGGAAAGTAGAAGGTAATCATACGTTTCTAAAGATATATTTCTGTATCCTGAATCCCTGCTTTGCTTTAGATGCAAAATATTTTATTAACACTTTATTATCGCCTTATCGTAAAAGAAGCATTAGCATAATTTATGCAACGCTTTTCGATCTTTTCATATTTTGTTTACGTGATTGTCTATATGAATATCTTATGTATAGGCTTTAAACATTTATTTTACAGGTCATACAGAGGGAGAAGTATTCAGAATAATGAAGCTGAAAGTTCAACCCAAAACTGGAAGAGAGAAGTATGATGATCTTCAACGTCTGTGGCGAGAGAAAGAGATGAAGAGATTTAAGGATTTTCTGATTTATTATAACAACTTGGACGTGGGGCCATTCGTACAAGCTATTGAGAACATGATGGTGTTTTATATCAATGAAAACATCGACTTGTTCAAGGAGACTATCAGCGTCCCAGGGGTGGCCCGAAAGTTATTAATGAAAAAGAAGGACAAAGACTGTCATTTCAGTCTATTCTCTCGTAAATTTCGGGACATTTACATGATGATTAAAAATAACATTGTAGGCGGACCTTCAATCATATTTCACCGTTACCACAAGGCGGGTGAAACCAAAATACGCGGTGGTTCAGAAACATGTCGCAAAATATTGGGGTACGACGCAAATGCCCTCTATCTCTGGGCAATCAGCCGAGAGATGCCAACAGGCCCGTACACGGTGAGGAGACGAGCCACTGACTTTGCAAAAGAGAAGCAAGATAGGTATTTGTCAGAGTGGTACTATATCGAGTGGATGGCCCATGAAGATAATACGAATATCAACCACAAATTTAATACTGGGCAACAAAGGGTTGGAAATTATCTTGTGGACGGGCTCGCTGGAAACACAGTGTACGAGTACAATGGGTAAGTATACTGGTCATTGAAAAATGGACCTGAAATGTGTAGTAGTTATAAGATGTAGTTATTTAATGTTATATTGTTATGAATTTTGATTTATTTATTTATTTACATGCTGTTTTCAGATTATTGAATCAGCAAGCGTCTTTTTGAAATGAATGTTCACTTTAATATGTAGCAAATTTAATCCCTATATATGCATTTTATCATTCAAATTTAGAAATTACTGTATACAAAATCTATACGATATATCTTTTAAAATATGTGTTCAAAGTCGTTTCTTGTCTAATTCTTTCATTTCTATTTTAGCTGTTATT